TAGGAGGAAAACTAGACCAGCTACGACACCACAGATGCTTAGAAAACAGTGTTTCCAGAAAGAGGGATGGTCAAAAATGTATAGGAAGGACCTTGCGGCACTGGCACACCGGGTTCTAGTCCCGGTCGGGGCGCCGGATTCTGTCCCAGTTGCCCCTCTTCCAGGCCAGCTCTCTGCTGTGGCCTGGCAGTGCAGTGGAGGATGGCCTAAGTCCTTGGGCCCTGCACCCCATGGGAGACCAGGAAAAGCACCTGACTCCTGCCATCAGATCAGCACGGTGCGCCGGCCGCACAGCGGCCATTGGAGGGTGAACCAACGGCAAAGGAAGACCTTTCTCCCTGTCTCTCTCTCTCACTGTCCACTCTCCCTGTAAAAAAAAAAAAAAAAGTATAGGAAGGGATTGACTGGGAAATTTTCAAAGAAGACACTGATACTATGTTTGCACTGATGGTTTACATTTGCCAAAACTTATTCAACTATACACACAAAATTTGAGTTTTCTCATATGCACATGATACTTCAGTAAGTCTAATTTTATTTTATTTTTTAAAATTTTTTTTGACAGACAGAGTTATACAGTGACAGAGAGAGAGAGAGAAAGGTCTTCCTTCCATTGGTTCACCCCCCAAATGGCCGCTACGGCCGGCGCACTGTGCTGATCCGAAGCCAGGAGCCAGGTGCTTCTCCTGGTCTCCCTTGCAGGTGCAGGGGCCCAGGGACTTGGGCCATCCTCCACTGCACTCCCCAGCCACAGCAGAGAGCTGGCCTGGAAGAGGAGCAACCGGGACAGAATCCAGCGCCCTGACCGGGACTAGAACCAGGGATGCCAGCGCCGTAGGCGGAGGATTAATAAGTCTACTTTTTACAAATGTAAATGTCATGAAGACAATGAAATGAGCAGAGAAGCTATTCCAGATTAAAGGAAACTAATGACATATGACAAATGAACATACTCTATGATGTTTACATCCTGAATTTAATAAAATCATTAAAAATGCTTTGGGGTCAATGGGGAGGAAATCTGAATACAGACCCGCTTTAAACTCTACTGTATCAATGTTAAACTTTTTTTTTTCCACTTAGTGTAGTCATTTTATTGTGGCTATGTAACAGATTTTGTGTTTTTTTTCTGTAGCAGATGCATTTTCAAAGGTTAAGGTGTAATGTTTTGGGTGTCTGAACCTTACTCTTATTTTTTTTTAAAGTGAGTGCAGACAAAAATAAAGCAAATATAGAAAAATGCTTAACAATTGGTGGAACTGAGAGGTAGATACTGTACTTATCTTTCAATCTGTCTATAGATTTGAAATTTCTAAAAATAAAGAATTGGGAAACTAAATAAAGCAGGAAGAGTCAGCTGTGCCAAATACTGTTGAGAATTCAGGTAGGATGAGAAGGGAACCAAGACCTTAGGCTTTGGCAAGAGATTGGGCACTGATGCCTGTCTTGTGAAATATTCAAATAACCAAGGAAGTAATAGAGAGAAGGTAGTTTCAAGTGATTTCAAAGGCGAGACAAGGGGCAAAACTTGGTGGGAGCGGACAGAGAAAACTGGGAGATAAGGAACTAGAGGCAGTGAGTGCAAGTAACTCTTTCGAGCGTTTTCTAGGTATAATAGCAGAGAAATTGGACTTGGAGCCAAAGTCTTCCTACACCAAAGACATTTTGTATGCTGACAGCAGTGATCCAGTAGAGCAGACATTAATCATGTGAAAGAAAGATGGTGTCAATGCATGAGCAATGTCTTTGAAACTGAGAGGTGCTAGGATTTAGCTCAAAAAGGGAGGAGTCACTGTAGATGACAGTGACATGACAATGGTGACAACAGTGGTAACACACAGCTGGAAATAAACAGGCACTAATTAAAGCATTTTTACTCATTTATTTCTCCCTTCAATCCTAGAAGGAAGGTAATTACTCTTATCTCCTTGTACATATGGGGAAGCTGAGGCATCGAACAGTGAATTGATTGCCCAACAATATACATCTAGAGAGTAGCCAAGTTGGGATTTAGAACCCTATGCAAGAGACTTTGCTTATAGTGTAGCAAGAGAGAAGGCAACGTTTATGGGTGTAGAAGCAGCTGGGCTGGCTGTAGTGGAAACATGAGGTAGCTCTTGCATGAGCACATCTATTTTCTCAATGTTGCATTTGGTGAGTTCATTAGCTGAGGGGGTTGGGAGAGGGGATGTGGGGGATTTGAGAGGAGAAGGTGAGAAATTCTTGTTTCAGGGGAGAAGGAAAGTGAATTTACTAGCAGCGCCTGAGAGCACTGAATGCCTTTTTGAAGTTAACAGTCATAAATTTGAAATGAAGTTACTTGTCCTTACTAGACGGTATTTTCTAGCAATTTTTAGCTACTTGAGAGCAGGCATAAAGAGGATGGTTGGGTTTAACTATGGTGGGGTTTTTTCCAGGCAACTGAAGCCTAGGAAGAAAGGATCCAGGGAGTAAGGGGTGTCTGTGAGAGAGTGGTGATAGAACCAGACTATGGAATTTAGGCTGGGTAAGAGGAATGTATGGCCATTAACTATGTGATGGGTATACAGAAAAAGACTGGAGATTTGCGAGGAAAGAGAGTGCCTTGAGTGTGGATGTTAAAGTAAGAGAGTGAGTAACAGAAAGCAGGATGTTCAAGATTCGAAAGGGAGCACTACTACAGATGATAAGGTCTAGATTGTGACCATGTGGAGAGTGACTGAGGTGCTGCAAACTAAAATATGACTGGATCTAAAAGACTAGAATACAGGATGACTTGTCTGTGAGGGTGTTGACGTTACACAGGGAGAGGAAGCAGTAGTGGAGTGAAAGTATGGGAGGTGACAGGAACAAAGAAAGGTAAGAGGAATGAATTTGTCTGCCAGTATACACTGCAGGATGGCAGGGGGACTGAAGGAGAAAGGAGGATAGATACACTGGAGGTTGTGGGCAGCAATGCTAGTACCAACCGCATAAACCATCTGCAGGTTCTGAGGTCCATTAGTGGGGAAAAAATATCAGGATCTAATTTGAGAAGTCTCAGTACAGCAAGAGGGACCGCTGAGAGAAGAGGCTGAGGATGCAGCATAGCACTTAACACATGCTATACACTCAACCAGTATTTCCCAAATTTAAATCTTAATTTTTCTAATAGCTTACTATGTTTAAAACAAGAAAAAAATCAGAAAGAAACTTATTTACAAAGAATCTGGAACAGATTGAAAAGGAAAGGATCCTCTAATGATTGCATTTTCCAAATCCATGAAAGGCTCATCTTCAAAAATCAGTCCCCTGACCAAGATAAACAAAATCAAACAGCATCTTATTATTTTTGGCTTAATATAAATGGAGCTCACTGTTATAAAATAAAACCAGGCATTTTTTTGCATAAGAACTCGATATTAGAAGAAAAAACTTCAGTGAATTATGCCTTGATGGAGCTTAGAAATAAACTTTCTGAGGATGAGTTGAGCAAAAATGAAACTATTACAATGCAAGCAAAGAAACCCAGGCATCCATGGGGAAAACTTGAGATTTCCCAGATTCTGTTCTCTCTTTGGAGTACAACATACTTCACTTTTGAATCTACCGTCCTTCTTCAGAAAGTAATCCGATTATTCGGTGAATAACCTTATAGGTGGGCCTTTATTGAAGACGTTCCTCTCAATGTTATCATTTTTTCCCTTAATTTGTTCTGAATGTCTTTGTGACACTAAGCAAATAGTATAAATTTTTTACACTTCAACAACAAAAAATCATTTATGTTTTATGTGTATAAAGTTGCTTCCAAAGCATTTTTGATGAGCTGTCTGTATATAGCTCATGAAATTCTACAGTCGTCCAGGGTCTTAAAACATATAATGAATAATGCCTGTACCTCAAAGGCTAAATGTTGTTAGAATTCATTTAGAATCTCCCCTAAAATGCAGTGTTTTGTTTTATAATTTTATTTAAGGATTTCAGATTATCAATCAGAATGTGGACTGGTTCAACTGCAGGTTGGTTCATTTTCATCTTCCTCATATACTATAAAGGTCTTATCACACGATGGGAAATTTACCAATGGTTCTATTACACCAGGTAAAAAGGCCTGAGAAAGAAGGCTGACTTCCTTGTTTCAATAAGCCTAATTTGAAATATCAGAAAAAGCAGTTAGCAGTTAGTCAATAGCATACATTGTGCTCATTTCTAACACACAGCTGGTATTGGGAGTAAGTTATTTCTCGTCTTCATGTAGAACCCAGCTGGAAGTAATCTCGCCTGCACTGAATTTCTTGAGTACTTAGTATATTACCTATGGGACTTTCTCTCTAGAGGACAGTGATTTCTGTACTTGTTTTATTTTCCCTTCTAGACTATACACAGGTACTCCATGTCTTAACATCTCTGGACAGCCTCAAAGTGTCATAGTATTATTTGTATTTCCTTTAACACCCATTCTACTAGTAGTAGAATGAAATATAATAGTAATACTGTCAATTTCAAACTCATCAGTATCATGGATTAAAATAAATAGGCATCTGTGGCTTGTTCCAGAATCATACCAATGTTCAGGTAACACAGGAAACTGCACTGAACTCCAAAAATCTAACTCACAAATCTGCTGTTAGAACACAGCAGGAACTTCTTATATTGCACATAAGACTAGAAAGAATCCAGACAGGAAGTATGCAGAACAATCAGGATGCCAGCTGCACTATTTATGTAAATAAGTGAGAACCACTTTTTTGTAAAGTAATTTTTAAAACAAATATTAAAATTTAAAAATGACATTTTGGTGAAAATGTCCCCCAAATAATACTGCATTGATGTATACTGTTACCTACCCAACTGAAAATTTTCAGGTTTTTAATTAATCCAGAGAATCTTGGCCAAATAAAGAATCTCACATTGTTCACAAATCAAAATTTCAACTTACCATTTATGTTTATTGCTGGTAATACAATAGACATTTTGGGTCTTGTGGTCTTGTTGTGGGTGGTAGCTGGTAACAGTAGGTGATCCTAAAATCAACAAAGAACAATTTGTTATGTGTAACAACTAGCTTAGTCCTAAAACAGGCCAAATTCAGTGTTTCCAAGAGGCCAACACTTCACTGGAATCATGGAAAATGACAAGTTTTATTTAAACTTAAGAGTTAATCAACTACAAATTACCTTAGGATCATTCATTCATTAACGCACTACACATTAACTTAGTGTCCATCATTACCAGATTCTATGCAGTCTTCTTGAACTACTCCTAGGTTCTGATAACATATATGCTACAATTTTTAAGAGTACTGGTCAAGCATCTAGGACAAGGGTTTTAATTCTAGTTCTTCCACTAAATAGCTGTATGATCTGGACAAGACTACACATCCTTTCTGGGCCTCAGTTTCTAGTCCTGTAAAATGATAGAGGCTACATAAGATAATATCATAAGATTCTGTAGTTACCTATCTATCCACTAAAGAGTCATTTTCAAACTTTGTTTTTTTAAGGGGAGGAAGATTTTTTCCCCTCCAACAAGATTCCTATCTCAGATTATCAATATATTAAAGAGGTTCTGTCTGAAGCAAAGCCAGGGCCTAGGGTCTTGCTTGCTTGAGCTCTTCTTTGAAGTGGTCATAGCGTTAGACATTTATTTGTAATCAAAATGAACATTTCAAAGAATGTAGAGTTCTCGCCTTTAAAAAGCATAGAGTTTAAAAATTATAAATGCATATTTAGAAAAATTATACAGTACTGAATATGATACAGCCAACTTTTAATGATCTATATGTAACTCATCTGAAGTTGCTGGTTTCCAGCTACACAATAGCCACACAATTACTAAAAGTAAAAACAAGCCAAAGAGAGTTTGGTTGCAGACAAGGGGGCATACAAGTGCCCTGAACTGTGTATATGTAGGTATTTTAAAGCTGATTAAAAATGACTAATGATTTCAACCTTATCTGTTTTCAATAGCTCCTCTTCTTCCTAGGAAAAATCTAAGAATTGTCAGAGATAAAAAAAAAAGATACCATTTCTTAAAACTGAGCCTAAGTATAACACATTCTACTTTCTTTTCTTGTTTCTATGTTCATTATTCCCTCATTCATTCAACAAACTTACTACATGGATAGACTTATCAAAAAGAAGGATCTGAAATAGCTGGAATGATAAAAGTTCATGGCACTTTAGTTCAAAGTCAGTGTCACTATGAAATTTGACTATTTTAACAGACCTAAGAAAAAATCCAGAATGTGGAAAACAAATTGAAACTGATGTACATGAACAGAACTGGGTAGAAAACATTCCAGTAACTGTTTGTACTTTGCATAATTCAAGGCAACATTTCCATGAGAACATGATTTTTAAAAGAGGGGACTGGGAAGATGAGTGAAGTCCTGTTCCAGTGCCAACACTGCGGCACGGGAGTTTGTGTTTTGTTTCACATGCATTGTCAGACACACGGATCACAGATTTCTGAGAATAATATATTATAACCAAGAAAAAACATAACTTGTTGATCTTCATGCTACAAAAATTATAAATAGCTTAATTCCTGTAATTAAAATGCTGCTCCAGGGTCTCTAAATTGAATGAGAAAACAAACCAAAACACTTGCAAGCCCCAAATTAAGGCTATTGTAAAAACAAAGATTCCATTTGTCACGGGTTAAGGTCAGGCTCAGAATTAATTCTGAATTGTCTGTTAAGATCTCAATGACATACCAAATGTTTTAAACATGATTTTCTGAACATACTGTCTCCTACTTTTTCTCTTCATTAAATTTTAAGTAAAAGAGTTAATTTTGTAACAAAAGGCCAAATGCTATGATTTATGAAAAAAGAATATTACAGTTAATGCGTCTTGTCTGTAGTTAAAGATTTTTAAATGGGGAACAGCGTCTAATTTAAAGAGCTTGTTTGCCAAGAAGCCCAAAGACCAGAACTGGAAGGAACCAACACTACAAACCCTAACAGTGTTTACCTTAACATGAAAACAAATTCTGGGGGCCAGTAGCGGGTAAAGCTGCCACCTGCAGTGCCGGCATCCCATATGGGCACTGGTTCAAGTCCCAGCTGCTCCACTTCCGATCCAGCTCTCTCCTATGGCCTGGGAAAGCAGTGGAAGATGACCCAAGTGCTTGGGCCCCTGCACCCACATGGGAAACCTGGAAGAAGCTCCTGGCTCCTGGCTTCATATCAACACAGTTCCAGCCATGGCAACCATTTGGGGAGTGAACCAGCAAATAGAAGACCTATCCCTCTCTCTCTCTCTCTCTCTGCCTCCACCTCTCTGTAACTCTAACTTTCAAATAAAATAAATAAAATCTTTTCTAAAAAAACTAATTATGTACATGTAACTAGATCACTGTAGTTGTTTCATTTAATATTTGCCTTCACTTTCTCAAAATAAATGTGCCTTGAAACTCACAACAATGATTTTGAAGCAATTTTTATCCATGCTCATCTTAATCTTTTTCAGATAACTAATCTTGTTAGTCACATATCCAGAAACAAAGACGCTTTTCTTAATCCACAAATATATTTACTTACTTCTTACCACTCATCTTAAAAAAAAAGACCACCCAGGTGTAGTGTCCTGCCAATAAGTCAACTGTGCTACAGAGGACATTTTCTTTAAAACCAACAACAACAACAATAACAAAAAAACAAATTGGGACTGGTGCTGTGGTGTAGCGGGTAAAACCTCCACCTACACTGCTGGCATCCAATATGGGCACCGACTGGTTTGAGTCCCAGTTGCTCCACTTCCAATCCAGCTCTTTGCTATGGCCTGAGAAAGCAGCAGAAGATGGCCCAAGTCCTTGGGTCCCATGGGAGATCCGGAAGAAGCTCCTGGCTCCTGCCTTCAGATCAGCACAGCTCTGGCCATTGCAGCCATCTGGGGAGTAGCTGGTGGATGGAAGACCTCTCCCTCCCTCCCTCTCTCTCTCTGCCTCTGCCTTTCAAATAAATAAATAATAAATCTTAAAAAAAATCCAGGTTTTCATTTTGTTGGGGTAAGCAATGTAAATTTTGGCAAAAAAAAAGAAAGCATTCACATCCAGTAAATGCTTTCCTTCTTCCATAATATTTGAATAGAAACAGAATCTACAACATTTAGTTGGGCACGAAGACACAAGAATAAAGGCTGTATTCCCCAGATTCCCGTGTGACCAGGTGAAGCCACATACTCTGGTCAATGGGCTGTAAGAAGAAGAAGTGCATGCAACTTGTTCAAGGTGGTAATGGTAGAAGGGCACCCTCTTCCTTCCCTTTTCTCCATCCAGACAGCTAGAAAGCAGATGTGATTGCCAAAACTGGAGTAGCCATCTGGGCCCATGAGATTTAAGCTGCAAGTTGAGAATTTTGGAACAAAAGACAGAAAGAAGAAGGGATCCTGATGATTAAGGAGTTCACAAATTTAAATTTTTAAGACCACTAATTTAATTTTCTGTAACTCAAAGCCTAAAGCTAATCCTAATTACTAGTTATAAATCTGTGAAGTAGTGTAAAAGTATTTATTTGGTCAAGAGGAATCTAAGTAAAAATTAATCAGGGACAACTATGCTTTTTTTTTTTTTGTAAATATTTATGTATTTATTTAAAGGAAAGAGTTACAGAGAGGCAAAGGCAGAGAGAGAGACAGAGAGAGAGAGAGAGAGAGATCTTCCATCCACTGATTTACTCTCTAGATGGCCACAATGGCCAGAGTTGCGTCAATCTGAAGCCAGGAGTCAAGAGCTTCTTCCAGGTCTCCCACACGGGTGCAGGGGCCCAAGGCCTTGGACCATCTCCTACTGTTTTCCCAGGCCATAGCAGAGAGCTGGATCAAAGTGGAGCAGCCAGGACTTGAACCGGCACCCATACAGGATGCCAGCACTGGATGCGGCTGCTATGCCACAGTGGTGGCCCCCAGCTATGTTTTTTTTTTTTTTACAGTATAGAAAAATCTATATTTATTATTTAGCCTTCTTGATACACCTCCTACCACTACAATTTCATTTAAATGCTTATTAATTAACTAATGGAGGAAACTGAATGCTGGAAAAGTAGAGATACAGTTTGACAAATCTGAATTAAATTCTTCCTTTCCTATTAAGTCAGCTAGAACAATCCAACTGCAATAAAAATCAAACTACTTGTTTTTAAAAAAAGATTTACTTAAGCCGGCGCCGCAGCTCACTAGGCTAATCCTCCGCCTTGCGGTGCCGGCACACTGGGTTCTAGTCCCGGTCGGGGCGCCGGATTCTGTCCCGGTTGCCCCTCTTCCAGGCCAGCTCTCTGCTGTGGCCAGGGAGTGCAGTGGAGGATGGCTCAAGTGCTTGGGCCCTGCACCCCATGGGAGACCAGGATAAGTACTTGGCTCCTGCCATCGGATCAGCGCAGCGCGCCGGCCGCGGCAGCCATTGGAGGGTGAACCAACGGCAAAGGAAGACCTTTGTCTCTGTCTCTCTCTCTCACTGTCCACTCTGCCTGTCCAAAAAAAAAAAAAAAGATTTACTTATTTATTTGAAAGGCAGCATTACAGAGCGGTAGAGGCAGAAAGAGAGAGGGAGAGATCTTCCATCTGTTGGGTCACTCCCCAAATGGCTACAATGACCAGAGCTGGGCCGATCTGAAGCCAGGAGCCTGAAGCTTCTTCTGGGTCTCCCACATGGGTGCAGGGGCCCAATGACTTGGGCCTTCTTCCACTGCTTTCCTAGCACTTTAGCAGAGAGCTGGATAGGAAGTCGGGCAGTCGAGATGTAAACCAGCACCCATATGGGATGCTGGCACTGCAGGTGGCAAGTTCACCTGGTACGCCACAGTGCAGACCCCGAAACTTTTTTTTTTAAAAAGTGGAAAAAGGAAGTTGCTATGGAGATAAATGACAAACACATTTCAGCTCTGTCATTCAAAACTGTGTTGCTAATTTTAAGACATTTCCAAGTGGACTCATGAAAAACATTTATGGAGCTTTTATACCAGAGGGTATCTTCAGGGTGAAATCATGTGAACAAATATCATCGCCATGCTTCCATACTCTTATTCCCAGAAGCTAGATAAACAGGGAGGAAGGTGACACCAGAACATTTCACTGTGGGAATAAACCATCAGTTTTCCAATGTTATGCAACATTGTACTTGACAAAATGTGCTATTTTCATCTATTTTTCCCAATTCCCTTTTTCAAGCATTCTGTTAGAAACAGAGAAAAGATCAGTGTGTAACAAAACATCTAAAGTTACTGTCTGTTTCATTTTCAAGAAAACAAAAGCCTTGTAGATTGACTTATCAAAAGAATAACCAAGACCACATTTTGCTCAGCAAAATTGTGATGGCATGTCACAATAAAAGTAAGATCTTAGAGTTATTAAAAGAGATTCTACATATCCATAGAGAAAAGAAACTAAGTTACTAGATTAAATGACATTTCTCATTCCATCTGAAAACTGGTGCCCATAGAACACTAAATATTCATGACTAATTGAGTTGTGGCTTTAAAAAACTACTTTTTGCTAATTGCATTTGTTAATGTGAATAAAAAAATTACATAACTGATAAAATACAGTGTGACTGAAAGAGAGCAAGACTGAATAAAAGTGAATAGTTTAAAAAACTTTTTTCATTGCAAAACAACCATAAAAGATTGGGGGTGAAATCATAATAGTCTGTACTCAGATTGCATAATAAGTATCTTTAAATTCTTATTCTAAAAAATAAATAAATTCTTATTCTAATTTAAAGTTACAGTAACTGACGTTGGAAATTATGGTGATGAATTGTAGGGAAAAAAAAATCACATGAAGTTCTACATAGTGGATTTGGACCCAAAGAAAAGGCACATATTCTATATCAAAAATTGGAAAATAACTGCACATTTATGCAATTAAATGAGGTAAAGATACATAAGCATCTTTTAAAAAATTATACTCTGTAGGACCAGTGTTATGGGAAAAGCCACCAACTGACATACCAACATCCCATACGGGCACTGGTTTGAATCCCTGCTACTCCATTTTTGATCCAGCTCCCTACTAATGGATTGGGAAAAGCAGAGGAAGATGCCCCAAGTGTTTGGGTCCCTGCCACCCATGTGGCAGACCCAGAAAAAGCTCCTGACTCCGGGTTTTGGCCTGGCCCAGCAGTGGCTGCCGCAGCTATCTGGGCTGGCTGGCTCGCTCTCTCTCTCTCTCTTTCTCTAACTCTGCCTTTCAAATAAATAAATCTTAAAAAAAGAAAAGATTACCTGCTTTAATCAGTCTTACTAATTAACAGACCATCCACAAGTTCCTATTTTACTGGAAAAAACAGCTTCTCCTGTATTAAGGAAACTCTGGCTCAGGGTTAAAGTCCTTTATCTTTGATAGAAATGAATTCATTGACTATCTAATGATGTCTCCTAGCAATGAAGGAAACTTGGTCTGCTACAGGCAGCACTTGTGACACTGAACAATTTTCACTTGGATGGACACAGACCTCTATTAGTCAAAAAATGTTGCATATCAAGCCAACAGTAACAACAATGGCCTTTTAACATTTTCTATTTGGCTCATATCCACTGGATTCCAGAGATGGGGTTGGTTTTCCAAATCAGAAAACCACTACAACTGGACCAAATTAAAATGTATCTATCATATTTCAAGGATAGTTTTATATTAAATTTTTAAAAATTTCCTTTTCTTTAATATTTATTTGAAAGGCAGAGATACAGAGAGAGAATTACATACATATACACACACACATACACACACACACACACAGACACATAGAGCGAGCTATCTTCCATCCACTGATTCACTCCTCAAATGGCCAGGGCTGGGCCAGGCTGAAGCCAGGTGCCAGAAGCATTTTCTAGGTCTCCCACGTGGGTGCAGGTGCCTAGGCACTTGGGCCATTTTCCAGCGCTTTTCCCTGGCACATTAGCAGAGAGCTGGATCAGAAGTGGAGCAGGGTCCGGCAGGTTAAAGCCCTAGCCTGAAGCGCCAACATCCCATATGGGCACCGGTTCTAGTCCCGGCTGCTCCTCTTCCCACCCATCTCTGCTATAGCCTGCGAAAGCAGTAGAAGATGGTCCAGGTCGTTGGGCCCCTGCACCCACATAGGAGGCCTGAAAGAAGCTCCTGGCTCCTGGCTTTGGATGGGCCCAGCTCGGGTCGCTGCAGCCAACTGGGGAGTGAACCAGCAGATGGAAGACTTCTCTCTCTGTCTCTACCTTTCTCTGTATCTCTGTATTTCAAATAAATAAAATAAATCTTTTTTTAAAAAAAAAAAAGAAGAAGTGGAGCAGTGAGTACTGGAACCAGTGGCCATATTGGATGCTGGGACTGCAGGGGGAGGCTTAACCTTCTACGCCACAGCACCAGCCCCTAAATTTTCTTTAATCTATGTTCCTATATGAGAAAGAGCTTTAGTTTTCTACCATAACTACTTCATTTGCCTTAACAACTATCTTTCAAACTGCCAAACTGGGGCCGGCACTGTGGTGTAGCGGGTAAAGCTGCCGCCTGCAGTGCCAGCATCCCATATGGGCGCCAGCTCAAGTCCTGGCTGCTCTACTTCCAATCCAGCTCTCTGCTGTGGCCTGGCAAAGCAGTAGAAGGTGGCCCAAGCCCTTTGGCCCCTGCACCCATGTGGGAGACCCAGAAGAAGCTCCTGGCTCCTGGCTTCAGAAGGGCGCAGCTCCGACTGTTGTGGCTACCTGGGGAGTGAACTAGCAGATGGAAGACCTCTCTCTCTCTCTGCCTCTCTTCTCTGTGTGTAACTCTGACTTTCAAATAAACAAATAAGTCTTTAAAAGAAAAAAGATATAACTATAAAAAAAATACTGCCACACTGGAAATCATGTCAAATCTCAAAAGCAAGAGGGCCAAAGCAGTAAGTAGGCCTTTTAGTATTTTCCTATAATCACAACATTTGGAACTAATATTGTCTTCCAGAAGTTATAGTAAGTGTTGATCAGAACCTATATGTGTCAGTCACCACAGCAATGGCTATTAGAAACTTTTAAATCTTTACAATGTAGACACACATTAGTGATACATTCTGAAAACAAAAATTGCAAAAAAATTAGATATAGTAAAATTAGGTGGGCTATAATCATTTAAAAGACTATTAAAATGTCTATATTTAGGGCTTCTCATCATAGTAAAAATAGAAATAGTTAATCTAAAGGTTACATAAAAGCAGTATTTATGCCACTAATGTATGCAATAAAACTACAGACCAATAAAAGGAAAGGTTAAGCTTGCTTCTGTCCCATCAGTGTGCATGTTAACCCAGAAGAAGAATAAATCATCACTATTAATATACAATAGATGGCCCAAGTTAAGTAAGTCAATGTTTGCTTTTAGCACTTAATACAAACCCGATAATACTGGCAGCATCACCAAAGGAAACTTGGTTTGAAATCCTATTAAGTACAAGCTCATGTTTTGCTTACGAAACGGTTCTCATATCAAACCCAACGGGAAGTCCTCTATTCAGCCTAGCTGACCTTGGCCTCCACTTCTAGTCACATAAAGAAACTACAAGGTTGAATCATTAAAAAATTGTCTTTGTGGGTCTATGTTTCACCAGTAATTTCATCCGGCTGAACCTAATAGTTACATTTGCTTTTCTTTTGAAAACAAAAAAGAAAAAATATAATTTTTAGTTTTGTGGTTGGCATGACTTCTTGTAAGTATTTTCCCAAGGATAGAATCGTAGTTTCACTCTCTTGTTGAATTTCAGAGCAAAGGTTTCTAAGCCAAGTCAGGATTGTCTTCCCTAGAAAAGGGCCTCAGACAAAAGCATCACTGGTTACATTCTGGGGACGGGAACAGGACCCGGAAATCTTTGCCCCAGCACTTCGTATTACTCCATTCAATTACTTGAGTTAATCAAAGACCAACACTTTGTCAGCTATAATAGAGGGATGTTTCAAATTGTGGACAGTGTGTGATTTAGGAAAATAAGTTAGGACCCCTGAAACTTCTTATTAGCCATTGTTTGCTGAGTGCCCACAGCACGATAATTCAAAAAATGCTTGTTAAGTAAGAAGATCAAAGTAAATGCATAATGAGCTTTAACCATTTACTATTTATAAGATGTTTCATGGCTGGTGCCGTGGCTCAATAGGCTAATCCTCTGCCTGCGGCTCTGGCACACGGGGTTCTAGTCCCAGTCGGGGCGCTGGATTCTGTCCCAGTTGCCCCCCTCTTCCAGGCCAGCTCTCTGCTCAGGCCCGGGAGTGCAGTGGAGGATGGCCCAGGTCCTTGGGCCCTGCACCTGCATGGGAGACCAGGAAAAGCACCTGGCTCCTGGCTTCAGATCAGGGCGGTGTGCCGGCCGCAGCGCGCCAGCTGTGGTGGCCATTGGAGGGTGAACCAACGGCAAAGGAAGACCTTTCTCTCTGTCTCTCTCTCACTGTCCACTCTGCCTGTCAAAAAAAAAAAAAAAAAAAAAGGATGTTTCATTTTAGAAAATTCATTTTACTCAGGATGATTAGTAGGAAGTGAATGTCCTGAAAATTAAATTGTATCTGTGCTACTAAGGAGAGAGGGAGAAGGGTCTGTGGCTACAGTAAGTTGAGTTAATAGGTTTCCTGAGAAAAGAATCTTAAACATCTCGAGGAAAACATTAAATAATAGACATCTGAAGGAACTGCTTTGTTTTTTGTTGGAAAAAAGATGGGAAATGTTGGGTTGAGATGAAAGTCATGTGCGTATGCAGGTAGCACGGGGAAGGGGAAGGAAACACAGGGAGATATTCCAGTTAACTCTCACACACTGATACTCTACTTTCTGGAAGGGGGGATAAGAGGGGTCCCACTTACTGATATTTCAAAAGCTCTCTCTCCCTGCATCTGGATACTCCCTTAGCCTTCACTACAGATCGAGTCTTTTCTTTCCTAGATAACTTTAATCTGAGTTTCATACAAAAAAATAGAGAGGACTGTAAAATGCCCCTGAAGCACATGTTCGGAAGGGTTGTTGTTGACAAGGCAAACTATAAAGTGAAAGAAAAAAATGCACCTTAATTTTATTGCTCTTAAAATGTTAAGCACAACCTGCAGTAATCTGACTTAACTACCTTAGCGGACACATTTTCCCTTGAGGATCTTGGGTTAGCCAAACAGTCAAACTGAACACTTGTTCCCATTGGAAACTGACTTTCATTGCTGATTTCAATTCCAGTGAAGGACTGCGGTGTGATATTACATAGATCTGCCCCATAATCGACCAGCGAGTTCTCTTTTCCTATCACACAAGGTATATTTTCCAGAACTTGATAGTTTTCTTCATTCTCAACAAAAATGGAACCACAAGTTCTCAGATAGAAAGCGCATTAGTGAGATATAATATATTAAAGGAAATAAATGGAAACTTTGTTTTTATTATTTGGTCAAGTATTCTTCTAGAAATGATTTCATTTAAATTTCAGGTAGTAATGGCTTTAAAGGAAAACTAAAGTATAACAGTATTAAGTTCTGTACTGATCCTATATTATCCTTCAGAAAATAATCTGTTAGGGGCTGGCGCTGTGGCACAGTAGGTTAAGTCGCTGTCTGCAGAGCTGGCATCCCATATGGGCACCGGTTCGAATCCCAGTTGCTCCACTTCCAACCCACATGGGAGACCTGGAAGAATCTCCTGGCTCCTGGCTTCGGCCTGGCCCAGCCCTCACTGTTGCAGCTGTTTGGGAAGTGAACCAGCAGACAGAAGATCTGTTTCTCTCTCTTTATCTGTAACTCTGATTTTCAAATAAATAAATAAATAAATAAATCTTAAAAAAAAAAAAAAACTAATCTGAGAGTCAAAGGAAGAAGGGATCAGAAGTGAATACAGGCCAGTAGTAAAAGGTTCTTCTAGATTGTTCTTAGTAAAAGATACATATCAGAATCACCTGCAGGATTTTATAATATAAATAAACAGATTCCCTATTCTCCTGGTGGTGGGAGAGGAATGCTGATATGGTTAATCTGAGGTGGGCCAAATATATTTTAGAAATATATCCCAGGGCCGGTGCTGTGGCGTAGCAGGTAAAGCCACCGCCAGCAGTGCCAGCATCCCATATGAGCGCCAGTTCAAGTCCTGGCTTCTCTACTTCTGATCCAGCTCTCTGCTATGGCCTGGGAAAGCGGTAGAAAATGGCCCAAGTCCTTGGTCCCCTGTACCAGTGTGGGAGACCCAGAGGAGGCTCCTGGCTCCTGGCTTCAGATCAGTGCAGCTCCAGCCATTGCAGCCATTTGGGGAATGAACCAGTGGATGGAAGTCCTCTTCTCTGCCTCTCTTTACCTCTCTGTGTAACTCTGACTTTCAAATAAATGAATAAATCTTAAATATATATCTATACATATCCCTGGGGCCGGTGCTGTGGCACAAGCCCTGGCCTGCACTACCAGCATCCCATATGGGTACCAGTTCAAGTCTTGGCTTCTCCGCTTCTGATCCAGCTCTCTGCTACAGCCTGGGAAAGCAGTAGAAAGCAGCCCAAGTCTTGGGCCCCTGCACCCATGTGGGAGACCTGGAGGAGGCTCCTGGTTTCCCCCTGGCCCACTCCTGGCTGCTGCGGCCATTTAGGGAGTGAACCAGCAGATGGAAGACCTCTCTGTCTCTCTCTCTCTCTACCTCTCTCTGTAGCTCTGTCTTTCAAATAAATAAAATAAATCTTTTTAAAAAATTAAAAATATGTCCTTGGTGGTTCTGATGCAGATAGTTCCAGGACTCACATTCCCACATACAGGCCAGCATGGCATAGACAGAAACTGGAGTATGGACTCTGGAGTTAGACTGCCTGGGCTTGAATTCTGCCTCCACCACCCTCTTTCTAGCCGTAGGGCCGAGACCAAGTCCCTTAACCTCTCCGTGCCCTCATTCACTCATCAGTAAAACAAGGACAGCAGCAGTACCTACTGCACAGATTGTTTATAAAGATTAAACAAGTTACTTTTGAAAATGCTTAGAACATTGATTGGCATGTAGAAAACCCTCTAAGTGTTTAATAATTTCTTTAAAAAAAGACTAAGAAGTTTGAGGTCAGGGAAGGCCTTGAGGAAATGCAATCAGTAGCATTAACGTGGGCACTGATGCAGGAAAGACAGATTCATCTAGGTTTATTCCCCTCAACCCCAGAGTGGAGACTCACTGTTCCACTACCAAGAAATCAGAGGGAGACAGGTACTCAAGACTGATCCTTGATTATTGTTCATAGCCCTTGTCTGTATTCCTGAGGAACAGTGCTCTTTCCACGTACCACTTGTTGCATTCTTTAGTTAGTGGAGGATTAAGTTTGTGAGTATAAAGTAAACTGAAAGTATGCCACATCAAAAATTAAAATAATAATAAGAAAGGAAGGAGGGAGGGTGGTATCATTATGTTCTTAAAATTGTATAATGAAATATATGAAATCTGTTCTCTTTATATAAATAAATACATTTTAAATGAAAATAAATACAAATTTCTAAAAAGAGGGGAAAAATAAGTGAAAGCCCTTTATAATTTGGTCTCTAAACTTTATACTTTTTTCATCATGATCTTCCACTATGACTTCTTAAACATACTTGTGTCAATTGTCACAGGTACTCCCCAAGAATTCAGCCAAGAAAGAAGAAATCCCATATTCTACCTCTTTGCATCTGAAATACTGGGGAAGAAATCACCAAAGCACAGATATTCAGTCTCTCCTCTATCCCTATCTATGCCAGGGAGGTTATTTTCTAAAGGGCCGAAGGCCTGTGGTGTGTGCTAGAGGCAAGGTAACTGGTGGAGGGGAGAGTGAGAAGAAACTAAACTGCCTTTTTGTGTTTTTTTTTATTTGTATGTATCTCATAAATACAGCATTAGGAACATAGTAAGTCTTCCCACCATACCTGCCCTCCCATTTAAAAGGTACACCATACCAGAGGAAAAAGGTGCGGAAATTGAAAGAAAGGGAAAGGGATGGGCGAAGAGGGCCAGCCTAAGCCTTGGGAGTCCGTCTCTGCAGTGTGTGGCAGCGTGGGGCTGGAGGAGGGTTGAGGGAAGCAAAAGTCTTACTTGCTGCCTGTGGCTTGATCTAATATTCCCTTTGGAGTATCGTCAAGAGAATTCATTAAAGGCCTACAGTACTTATCAAGTTTTTTGAGGCACTGGATTTGTATTTGTTTTGGATATGTTACCATGACAAAATCAGTCTTACAAAAAGCAGGCAAAAAGCCCTTTTTATTTTAATTACACAGATAAGGGGTCTTTTCCTCTGTTGAGACTTCATGACAGTCCTTTGGCAAGGATGCATCTTTAAAAATAAAATTAAATTGTAGGACCCACCCCCCAAACGTTTCCACAGGCCTAGTTATTTGAAGAATCTGGGCAGCCATTGTCTGCACAACATACCCCTTCTTCTGCCCTCCTGTCTCTCCCCGTCTTCGTGGAGGAACGACACAGGACCCTGCGCTGTTCTTTTGTCTGCTCCGCCTTCCCCGGGTTTGCTGCTGGTTCTTCCCGGGTTGGCTACCGACCCTTCCACCTCCGTGGAAGGGCGGTTCCCCCTAGCCACTTTCCCCACTTCCGCGGGGGAGCGGCACACCGCCGGCCGGCTCTCTCGGGGGCTGCTCAGGTGTTCCTTCAGATAGATGTTCCTGGTGCATGTTGTCTCTCTCCTCCTTTATAGTCCTCTTCCACCAAGCCCAACTCTGCTACCCACACGCCGAGCACGCTGCCCTCCTCCAATCAGGAGCAGGTCCTGCTGTTTATTGGTTGAACTGGAGGCAGCTGTGTAGAAGCTGTTTCTCCCTTCTCAGTGCCATATTGTGGGAGAGCAGATGCATAGAATAAGTCTTAATTCCAGTAACTTAGTCTAGTCCAAGTTGCTCCCCACACCCTCCCCTCCAATGTCCTGTCACCCAATCTAGAACTCCAAGTCCCTTTTTTCTTTAAAGATTTATTTTATTTATGAAAAGCAGAGTAACAGAGAGACAGAGAGACAGAGATGGAGAGAGAAGGGGAGGGAGGGAGAGGGGTAGGGAGAGAGAGACTGACTGATCTTCCATCTGCTAGTTCACTCCCCAAATGGCCACAACAGCCAGGGCTGGGACAGATGGAAGCCAGGAGCCAGGAGCTTCTTCCAAGGACTCCCACGTGGGTACAGGGCCTAAGGATTTGAGCCATCCTCCACTGCTTTCCCAGGCACATTAGCGTGGAGCTGGAATGGAAGTGGAGTAGCTGGGACTTGAACCAGCGCCCATATGGGATGCGGGCACTGCAGAGGGCGGCTTAACCCACTACACCACAACACTGGCCCCGACTTCCCAGTCTCTGACCTGATCTAGTGACTTAGTTAAGTCTGCTGTGGCCTGCATTACTTCCTTCCCCCAAGCCACAGCCCAGTCTGTCCTCCTACCTGTGGTATTTTTTTTCTTCTTCAAATGTTCATGGCTACTCCTAACATCCATCCAGGTCCAGCTGAGAACCGATCTCATTCCTAGAAATGTGCCCTTAACTCCTGACTTCAGTAGTGCTGTCTCCATTTGCTTCTTGTGTTTTGACCAGATGCTATCATGAATCCTACTGCGGGTCACAAAGGCCCAGAGAAGATTTGGGGACAGAGAAGGGAACTATCTCCAACCACAGTAACCTAAAGGGGTAGGTACATAATTTCTCTCCTTTCTGGCAAGTAGGGCACATAACCTAAATTTGCCCAATCATATTTGCTCACTTGGAAATGAACAAATAAAGACTCAGAGAGAGCTAGGTCATTTTTAGCAGTGATGGAGGAGCAGCCACTGGTAGCCGTGCTAGCAGTTGTGTGGGTGTCCAGTGGTATGTTGTCCTGACTCAATGTTCTGTACAAGACAGAGGCTCTTCTTTGTTGTGTAGATTCCTTTGGTTCCTGTCAGTGTTGTGAGCCTAATTCTCCAGCCTTCTATGAAGCCAGAACAAAGATTTGGGGCCAGGATGTGGCTTAGCAGCTAAAGCTTCCACCTGCAACACCCGCATCCCATATGGGCACTGGTTCGTGCCCCAGCTGCTCCATTTCTAATCCAGCTCCCTGTTAATGGCCTGGGAAAAGCAGCAGAAAATGGCCCAAATATTTAGGTCCCTGCCACTCACATGGGAGAGCTGGAAGAAGATCCTGGCTCCTGGCTTCAGGCTGGCCCAACCCTAGCTGTTGCAGTCATCTGGGGAATGAAGATGGGAAGATCTCTCTTCCTCTCTCTCTGTAACTCTTTCAAATTAATAAATAAATGTTTACAGAAGTAAACAACAAATAGCCTTCCAATAAAATCCTTTTCTGCTTAACGTAAGAGGTTAATTTTCTGCTTTAACTAAAGTTGTGGTAGGTTTCTTCTGTTTACATTCAAGAGTTATAGCTGACACAAAAATGGAATTTCATTTCTCACATACTTGATATTGCTGGTAAAGGTCTGACTAGGGAACTTCTAAAAACATTAATTTCAATTAGCTTAATCATTTTAGGTAAGTAAAATATAACAGATTGAGCCACAAATCAACAACCCTTTTATATTCCATTTGATCCCCAAAATAATAAAAGTTGGCTCTGTCACCACCAATCTGAAACTGTCTTCATAAATATTATATTCTAATTGTCAAACCCACTTGCTTTCTTCCAGCCTTCATCCTACTTTCTCTCTGCAGCATTTCACACTTGCAACTTTCTCTCCCCAGACTCCTATTTCTCATTACCTTTTTTTTTTTCCCCTGCCATCTCAGCCACCCACATCCCACATTCCACATTAAATACTAGTGTTTCTAAGGGGTCAATATTTTTTAAAACTCTATTCTCTCTTGGCATTCTCACCTAGTCCCATGACTTAAATGTATGGTTAAAACCTCTCAAACCTCAACTCAAGTCTCATATTTACAACTCTACTAGTATATTACCTAGATCCTTAAACTCCAATTTACCTCCTCCCCAGATTTCCTTAAACTTCATCAATTTTATTTAATTATCCAAATAGACCATCAGTGATCCTGGACTCTTGTATTTTTTTTTTAAACTTCAACATTAAATATATCCCTTATTCCAAGATTAGGGCTACATTAGCAATTCTTGTGTATCTTTTTCATTCTGAAATAGTCTCTTAGTCTCAGTTTTCAATGTTTTATACATGCTGATGACACTGAAATTTATATTTCTAATCCAACTCACTCTCTTGAACATGACTCCTACATCTAACTGCCAAATCAAACACACGTTTGGACACCTCAAAGTTAAGGTCCCTAAAATTATGCTCCTGATTCGCCCCCTTGGTTGTGCTCTTCCCATGGTATTTCCCCTCTCTGTGGCAATGTCATTTTCCTCAGGTGCTAAGGCCAAATACTTTGTAGTACTGGTCTCATAATCCACATTCAATTCTTCAGCAAAATCTCCTGATTCTCCTTTCCAAATACTCATATATATTAGGAATCTAACCACCAGTCCAAGTCATCGTTATCTACTCCCTTTATAATTATAATACTCTCCTACATGGTCTGCTCTTTCCATTCTTTCCTCCTGCAGTCTATTCTCATTACAGTCACCAGAGTGATCCTGTTAGAATGTAAATCCAAATGCTTCAATGTCTTCCATTCTCAAAGTAAATTTAAAGTCACTTCAAAGGACACCAAGGCCGTATATGATATGACCCATATGACCCATTTGCTTACCTCTGACATCATCTAATCTGTTCTTTACCTCTCCTAAGCAAGTTCTGCAGGGCTCCTGTGCTTGCTGTTCCCCCTGGAATATTCTTTCCTCAAATTCATGTATGGCATGTGCCTTCACCTCCTGCAAGTCTTTACTCAAATGTGTCTCAGTGAGGCCTTGCGTGTCCCACCTACTTAAACTGCACACACTGACAGCCCCACCAAACACACCCACTTCTCTTCCTTTCTCTGCTTTAATTTTCTCCCTATGCTTATTATGTTATCCTTTATAAATAACCTCTGGAATAGCAGTATTTTTTAACTGCTTTGCTCATTGCTGAGCCTTCAAGATCTACTGTCATATAGTAGGTATCTTATATAATAAAAACAGAGACCAATGTTGTAGCACAGCAGATTAAGTCACCCATTGCAATGCTGGCATCCTATAACAGAGTGTTGGTTCAAGTCCCAGCTACTCCACTTCGTTTCCAGCTTCCTGCTAATCAGTCTGGGAGGTTGGGCCCCTGCAACCTATGTGGGAGGACTGGTCACTTTTCTCACTAAAATTTTTTTCTGTGCTTTGGAGGATATAATTATTTTTCATTAAACATGTTATTTATTCAATCACTCTTTCAATTCCTAGCATCATCAGATTTAAAGGTACTTAATATTTTAACAGGAATAGCTCTTATAAGTGAAAAAACATCTCAAAATTGTTTCACATCTTACAGACAAATGACTTTCATACTACGAAAGCGACTTTACTTTCAAGCAGAAAAATTCACTTATTGTCATAATGTACTGGTGTGGTTATAAAGAATAGTCAGTTCTCCCGATTAGAGGCCATTTCATTTCAGCTTGTTGTTTTCTAACATCCCAGGCATGTTAGAAACCATTAATTAACCATTAATAGAAATGGTTAATATAACTGCTCTGGCCAGTATGTGGCTACTCTATCATGGTTATTTTTCACTTAGAATCTTAGAAAAATTATTTTTTTTAACTTTTATACTCTTATCCACAATTGAAGGGACTCCTTTCCTAAGAAGTCACAAATTCCAGTAAAACAAATAATTTGAGGAATTTTTCATAAGCTGATGGAATATGTGTATTATTAAAAAAGTATGCATGGATTTCAAAATTTTTGTGAGCCAAATAATATGCAACCTTGCCATTAACATGTCTGCACGGGATCCAGTTTGAGATACTAAGAAGGGTAAGTCATGAACTGGAAAAGAACCTGTATCACAGCTCAATTCTGCTACAACTGAAGCAAGAACAGTTATCAAAGTGATGAAGCTTGGGTGAAATCACTGATGATGTATGGAGAGTGTATGGGGGACAATGCCCCAAAGAAATCGGCTTTCTAATGGATAACTCTTGTGAAAAACAGGCAAGATGATGTTGAAAATTAAGGTCACAGTGGCAAACCAATGACATGAATTTAGAAGGAAAAAATTCATCTTGTTCATATAACCTACAACCCGAATAAGGCCTGCAAAATTATTTGGTCTGGCTCTGCCACTGCAACCACAGGCAGGACTCAAAATTCAATAAATCTATAACAGACTAATGTTTAAGTTGATAATTTTGTATGGCCTGTGAATGATGTTATAAATATCCAAATGCCCTTTGACAGAAAAAAGGTTCCCACCCCTGTTAAATGAAGAAGACTGATGTTTAAAACCAGAAAAAAACAGTCAATACCACAGACCTCTTAACTGGTTCAGCTTACACAATTCTGATTGAAAAATTAGAGAAAACTTTCTGCTTGATGGGTACCCAAACAATTGTACTCAGATCAGCTGCAGATAAGAGCTGAGCTTCTAATGGCAATTTTAAACAAGTGTAATTAAGATCCTGAAGAGACAAAACACAGCTTTATAGGTATGATCCTGAAGATGAAGTACAATCAGAGCAATGGTTTCCAAGACGTGGAACTGGTCCAGTCAAAGCAAAAGTTGGCTAGGCAAGAGCAAAGTTCACGGCAACAGTTTTTTTGAGATGCTCAAGGAATTTTCTTGTTGACTTTCTGGAGTGGCAAAGAACAGTAAGATCTGTTTATTCTGAGAAAATCTTAAGAAAGTTAGCCAAACTTTTAGCAGAAAAGTATCTAGGAAAGCTTCACCAGAGTCTTTCTCCCCAACAACAATGGTCATGGTCATTTGTCTCATTAATCAAACAAGGGTAATTTTGCAAGAATTTTGATAGGAAACCACTAGGCATTCACCTTACAGTCCTGATTTAGCTCCTTCTTACTTCTTGTTCCCTAGCCTTAAAAAAATCTTTAAAGGGCATTCATTTTTCTTTAGTTAATAATCTAAAAAATATTATATTTACATGGTTACATTTCCAGAACTTGCCATTCTGTAAGAAAGGATTAAAAAGCTGTCATCACTTACAAAAGTACATTGAACATAGGCCGGCGCCGTGGCTCAATAGGCTAATCCTCCACCTTGTGGCGCCGGCACACCGGGTTCTAGTCCCGGTCGGGGCGCTGGATTCTGTCCCGGTTGCCCCTCTTCCAAGCCAGCTCTCTGCTATGGCCAGGGAGTGCAGTGGAGGATGGCCCAGGTGCTTGGGCCCTGCACCCCATGGGAGACCAGGAAAAGCACCTGGCTCCTGGCTCCTGCCATAGGATCAGCGCGGTGCGCCGGCTGCAGCGGCGGCCATTGGAGAGTGAACCAACGGCAAAGGAAGACCTTTCTCTCTCTGTCTCTCTCTCTCACTGTCCACTCTGCCTGTCAAAAAATAAAAAAAAAAATAAATAAAAATAAAAAAAAGTACATTGAACATGATAGAGCTGATATTGAGAAATAAAGTTTTTATTTCTTATTTTTATCTTCTAATTCTATCTTCCATGGACTTGTTAATGTCTCTTGTATTACAATTTGTATTCACAGTAAGATGACATATTAGGAATCAAAGGTTAGGGCTGCTCTAAAAGGATTTCCAAGAGATAAGAAATTAAAAGAATTTTTGTATCCATATCCCTAGAATATATTGAGCAAATAAGAGAAGCTCATTTAAACTTTTTAAAATGAACATATGAAAAGTGACTCTTTTTCCTTGTAGGGAAAGGAGGTCTTAATTCAATAAAAACATGAAGTAGAGTCATTTCAGGAGGCCTAAATTATTATGTCTAGAAAATTTCACTTCTTATAAACTTGCTTAGTTGAAAAGATGGCAAAAACAAAACAAACTAAAACATATATGCATCTGATAGGATAAAAGGAAAAACTTTAGAGTACCACATTGAGAGATACATTCCTCATCAGAAATAGTAATAGAAGAGCAACTGATGGAACTCTGGTAATTGGAAATGATGTACTCTCCTTATCACAATCCAGCTGTCAAAGAGATGTCCCGAAAGAAGAGAAGCCATCCTTTTAACATACTACACAACCTATGGAAACTCTCAAAACAATGTCAGAGGAATCTAAGCTGGAGTTTATTCTTCAGTGTGAGATTTAAGAATAACTGATTTATTGGAAGATTATGAGAAAATCACGTATCAGCAAAGAACTCAAAAAACAAAGATGCTGTTTCAGATGCCCTCATCCCATATCAAAGTAACCCCCAAGCCTCAATTGCACTCCTGATTCCAGCTCCCTGCTAATGTACACCCATGGCTGGCAGCAGGTGCTGGCCCAGAGGTGAAGTGCCCTGTTGACTTTGAGAGTAGAGAGCAGTTTGTTCTTGTCTATCAGAAATAGACTACAATGTAAAATGACTGAATGGAGAAACAGGCAGATTACAAATATGGGTGATAAATTTAAAAAGAGAACAAAAGTCTATCAAGTAGGAAAAAAACTGGTACTATAAAGGGAAGGGAACATAGTTGATTAATCCTAATACTCTTTGTTTCAATATACTCATGATTATTAAGCAAAAATACCAAACTGTTGCCTTTTAAAATTATTTAAAATAATTTTCTATTTCTCAATTCTTGCTACACCTGTGATATTAAAAAATCATATAAATATAGAACATATATTTAGCTAAAGTAATACTCAATGAATTGAGAAATCTAATCCCAACTTCTCCAACCTTACCCTCTATAATACTTGCTGAATTCTAATAAACTTGAATTATTTCCTTTCTTTCATACCACATTCTTTCATGTATGTTCAACTGTGAAGTGAAGTTCCCTAAATGGAATGACCTTTTCCTCTATTTTATTTTTCTGTGCTGGAAGTAGCCTTTCACTTTACATGCATTTTTCATTTTTGAAGGCTTTATGATCATCTCTTTCCTCACCCAAAATCTTGGGTCTCAATGTCATGTAGGGAATTTTCTTAAAGGTCATATCATATTCAAAAAGTCAACCAAAAAATGACAGAAATTATATTAGGCAAAAGCAATAATTATAGAATATGGGGGCTAGTGCTGTGGCTTAGTGGATAAAGCTGCTGCCTGCAGTGACTGCATCCTATATGGGTGCCGGTTTGAATTCTGGCTGCTCCACTTCCTATCCAGCTCTCTGCTATGGCCTGGGAAAGCAGTAGAAGACAGCCCAAGTCCTTGGGCCCCTGCACCCACATGGGAGACCCGGAAGAAGTCCAGGCTCCTGGCTTCAGACAGGCCCACCTCCAGCCGTTGTAGCCATCTGGAGAGTGAACCAGTAGATAGAAGACCTCTGTCTGTCTGTCTGTCTCTCTCTCTCTCTGCCTCTGCCTCTAAATTTGCCTTTCAAATAAATAAATAAATCTAAAAAAAATAATTGTAGACTATGAAGACATCTCAGAGATCATGTACCACCTGTCCTCATTTCAAAATAAAAAAGCCGGGGGTGGGGAGGAGGGCTGGTGTTGTGGCCATTGCCAAAGCAAGCAGTGCTGGCATCCTATATGGGCACCAGTTGGAGACCTGTCTGCTCCACTTCCAATCCAGCTCTCTGCTATGGCCTGGGAAAACAGTGGAAGATGGCCCAAGTCCTTGGGCCCCTGCACCTGCATGGGAGACCTGGAAGAAGCTCTTGCCTCCTGGCTTCAGATTGGTCCAGCTCTGGCTGCTGCAGCCTTCTGGGGAGTAAACCAGCAGATGGAAGACTTCTCTCTCTCTCTCTGCCTTTGCTTCTCTGTAACTCTGCCTTTCAAATAAGTAAGTAAATAAATCTTTCTTTTAAAATGCCTTGTTGGAATTTAGATCCAGCTCTGTCAACAATAATTTTATTCCAAGACATCAACAACCTCCAAATCAACACTGAGACCACAGGAGTGAAGAGAAAAAAATCACTCATGAAGGCAACTGATCATAAGGGTACTGGGTTCTGCCCACTACTTGCATAGGTTTCTAGGCTATCCCTAACTAAAAAGAAATTAACATTCAAGAACAACTTAGCAAACATAATTATCTATGAAGCCACACTTGTGATAACATAAAATTTCCACTCTTTTTCTATGTACTTCTGTTCTGTCTTGTTTGAGCAGGAAACATATGTATCACTCAAAACACTTGAGACTAGGATGCTACAGCTACTGGGAAAAAAATTAAAATTGTACAAAAGGTTCCAAAAATTTATGGAAAATAAATATCAAATATCAAAAATATCAAAAAACTATGCATGCTGGTCCAGGCCAAAGCCAGAAGTCTGAAACTCCATCCAGGTCTCCCATGTGGGAAGCAGGGGTCAAAGCACTTCGGCCATCTTTCACTGCTTTTCACAGGTGCATTAGCAGAGAGCTGAATCAGAAGTGGAGCAGCTAAGACTCAGATCAGTGCCTCTGAGAGATGCCAGTGTCGCACAGAGTGGCTTAACCTGCTGTGCCCCAATGCTGGACTTACACTGCCCATTTTTAATCACTCTCATATATGAACAATAATGAGGTAATTATAAGAAAGCAAGATGTGAGGATCCATTATGGCTGAATAGTGAGAAGCCACACTGACCTCAGCTGCAGAAAGACAACAGAAAACAAAGGATAGCTAGAAAAAGATATAACATGCAAATGGAAACCAAGAATGAATAGGAGTAGCTATACTCATATCAAATAGACTTTAAATCAAAAACTAAAAAAGAGACAAAGAAGGACATTATATATAAGAAGATTGATTCAGCAACAAAATGTAACAATCACAAATACATATGCACCAGATTACCCAGATGTATACAGCAAACATTTTAGAATGAAAGGGAGAGACAGACTCAAAAACACTAATAGTGGGGGACTTCAACACCCCTCTGTCATCAATGGACAGACCATCCAGTCAGAAAATCAACAAAGATACAACAGAGTTGAACAAACAGACCTAACGGACATTTACAGAACACTTCACCCAACATCTACATAATACACATTATTCTCATCAACACATAGAACATTTTCTAGGCTAGACCACATATTACGTCACAAATCACAAATCAAGTCTCAGTAAATTTAAAAAGACTAAAATTATATCACGCATCTTCTTAGATCACAAATGAATACAAATGGAAATCAACAAGTAGAGCAGAACATTTACAAATACATGGCAATTAAACAATGCTATTGAATGACCAATGGGTCATTGAAGAGATTAAAAAGGAAATTAAAAGCTTCCTTGAGTTAAATGAAAATACATCATATCAAAACCTGTAGGATACAGCAAAAGCAGTATTAAGATGGAAGTATAGTGTCAAATGCTTACATTAAAAACAATAGAAAAGTCTCAAATAAATGATCTAATGTTGCATCTTGAGGACTTAGAAGAACAAGAAAAAACCAAACTCCAAATTAACAGGAGGTGAGAAATAATAAGGATCAAAGTATAAATAAATGAAATGGAAATGGAAAAGAAATACAAAAGTCAATTTAAAAAATGGGTTTTTTGAGACAATAAACAAAACAGACAAACCCTTAGTCAGACTAACAAAGGGGGGAGGGGAGAAAAAACCCAAATAAATAAGATCAGAGATGAGAACGGAGATCAACTCCACACAGAGAGCAACTATATCACCTCCCAAGTTTCTTTGGTTAAGTAACTTCTGTTACTGGACTAAGCTAAGAATTATATAGACACTGGGTTCAATAATTAATACTTGTCCCACAACACAAATAGCTGGGTGCCCAGAAAAGTGGCAAAGACAATTTTTCACCAATATCCAAAAAGCAGAGGAATATGATACTGGACTGTTGAATTATTCCCTATACCTACCCAAATAAACTGCTTACAATTTACAAAATAATTTCTACCTAGGATATTTTGCCTTAATTACCAAATAAGACTTAATAATACAAAGGGACTTTTCTTTTTACATATTTAACAAATGACATTTTAAGTATTTAAGAAATGATTTAACTTTTTAAATACAGAAATCTAGGAGCTGACGCTGTGATAGTACAAAGCCTCTGCCTGTGGCACTGGCATCTCATATGGGCACCGGTTGGTGTCCTGGCACCTCTTCTTCCAACCCAGCTGTTCATGGCCTGGGAAAGCAGTGGAAGATGGCCCAATTGCTTGGGCCCCTGCACCCACATGGGAGACCCGGAGGAAGCTCCTGGCTCCTGGCTTTGGATCAGCCCAGCTCTGGCCATTGAAGCCGTTTAGGGAAAGAACCAGCGGATGGAAGATCTTTTGACCTATCTCTCCCTTTCCCTGTCTCTAACTCTGCCTCTCAAATAAATAAATAAATCTTTAAAAATAAATAAACAAATAAAGCACAGAAATCTAAGAAGGGAAAAAAAAAAAAAGCATTATGCACATGACCACAGAGAATCAGTTTTAAAAAGCAAGTTTCAGGATTCTTCACTCTGATAAACTTGACTTATTTCTCCTTAACTTTTTAGGTTAGGTAAGTAACAGAGAACTACTCATGCTATTAAACTGAGAGAATTATTTTCTAATGGGCTTGTACAGCATAAGGACGGAACTGCTGTTTACAATAATTTGCGGCTGTTAGAGGGTAAATAGGCTTAATGAAATCATTGGGAATATTGAAGCAGAATTGCCTGGAGTATTTTTAAATACTTATATTAATTACGGTATGAAAAAATGTTTAATTAGAAGTCAGAAAATAGTGTGAAAATGTAATTGGTCTTTAATTCTGAGTCAGATTTTTAGATTCTCTGAACATTATAACATATTCCTGAGTACACTTACCAACAAAGAGGACTCTGCACAGCTATAATGAAGTGTCTAGATTACCATATGTCTCATAAGAAAAAGGAAAAAATGATTTTCCTTAGTTTGATCCAGTTTGGGTTTAGTTCAATTTAATTCAAAATACTTTGTAAATTTACTACATGTAAAACACCAAAATGGATGAAGAGTAAATTTAAAAGCCCTCATTATTTTGAAGAAACTTATCTAGTGAGGCCATACATAAAAATAATACAAAGAGGGGCTGGCTTTGTGGCCCAGCGGGTTAACACCCTGGCCTGAAGCGCTGGCATCCCATATGGGTGCCAGTTCGAGACCCGGATGCTCCACTTCCAGTCCAGCTCTCTGGTATGGTCTGGGAAAGCAGTGGAAGATGGCCCAAGTCCTTGGGCCCCTGCACCCACGTGGGAGACCCAGAAGAAGCTCCTGGCTCCTGGCTTCGGATTGGCGCAGCTCTGGCCATTGCGGCTATTTGGGGAGTAAACCATCGGATGGAAGACCTCTCTCTGCCTCGCCTCTCTCTCTGTGTGTAACTATGACTTTCAAATAAATAAATAAATAAATAAAATTAAAAAAAAAATAATACAAAGAAAAATGCAGTAAGTACTACACAACAGCACTATGGGAATTCAATGGACTCGCAGGAATTTAATTGAGCATCAAATATTGTCACTTGAGGAAGAGCCTTACTACCTGGAGGTTCACAGGCACTAGATGCATATTATTCCTTCATCCAGATAAAATCACTAGGCAATTGCCTCAGTTTCTACCACACAACGTCAAAACTACTATCTGTTTGGTTCCTAAAGCAAACGGAGCAGCCCTGAATTAGCAATATAGAACATTAGTACTCTAGTACTCTAGGCTCTCACCCAAACCTTGGATGAGATAGGACATTTAGAAGGCATGCTTAAGGGCCAGGTGGCTATCCACTTCTTTAGGCATTCAAAGTTACAAGTCCAAGTCAGACTCTAAGAAGGCTCAGCCTCCCTCTGAATGACTTTAACAGAATTGTGTATCACCAACCAGATGAAAAGACAAAAAGTAAAACAATTTACTTACAGTAAAAAACAATCAAAAAACCAAAAACTACACTTAATGGAATATCATGTTCCTTCCCGGCGCCGTGGCTCACTAGGCTAATCCTCTGCCTGTGGCACCAGCACTCCAGGTTCTAGTCCCGGTTGGGGCGCCAGTTCTGTCCCGGCTGCTCCTCTTCCAGTCCAGCTCTCTGCTGCGGCCCGGGAAGGCAGTGGAGGATGGCCCAAGTGCTTGGGCCCTGCACCCACATAGGAGACCAGGAGGAAGCACCTGGCTCCTGGCTTCGGATCAGTGCAGTGCGCCGGATGTGGAGGCCATTTGGGGGGGTGAACCAATGGAAGGAAGACCTTCCTTTCTTTCTCTTTCTTTCTTTTTTTTTTTTTTTTTTTTTTTTTTTGACAGGCAGAGTGGACAGTGAGAGAGTGAGAGAGAGAGAGAGAGAGAGGTCTTCCTTTTTCCGTTGGTTCACCCCCGAAGTGGCCGCTACGGCCGGTGTGTTGCGGCCGGCATACTGTGCCAATCCGAAGCCAGGAGCCAGGTGCTTCCTCCTGGTCTCCCATGCGGTGTAGGGCCCAAGGACCTGGGCCATCCTCCACTGCACTCCTGGGCCACAGCAGAGCTGGACTGGAAGAGAAGCAACCGGGACTACCATCTATTGCAACCATTTGGAGAGTGCACCAGTGGATAATAGATTCTCTCTCTCTCTCTCTTTCTCTCACTCTGCCACTCTTTCAAATAAATAAATAAATTTTTAAAAGAAAATAAAGGGATTAAAGTATATCTCTGAATCTCAAAAGTCTACAATGGAAACTATAAATTTACTTAAGAATTATCTCAAAATTCTTTATATTCAGAAGCAATGCTATCTGAAACAACCATTATTTTAAATGTACTCTTATTCAAAAACTGTGTAAAAATATTAAATAATAAAGCTAAAATAAGTGGTTAAGATAATGAAAGGAACCTACTTCTAATTATAGTTTCAATTCTTGCTCATCAGCTCTTACAAGCTTTTAATTAATAAATAAAAATAACATTGACATTCTCTATGTGAGATAATTCATTAAATTTAGCTTACTAGTGAAACATTTTAAATTTAAATGACTGGGATCACTATGCTTCACTAATAAAATTCTGGGAATTGAATAATAATAAATAAAAATAATAATAAAATTCAGGGAATTGAAGACTCAAAAAGAAACCGAGCAAAAACAAATGCATAATTACCTAATACAGAGCACCTATGGTTGATGAAAAGGCAAATAATGAAACTTCTATACATGTACAGCGTCCCTTGGATAATCTTAGTTGAAGGTAGGCAGATATTTAATGTATTAGCAGTACAGGTTTCTAATGTAGAGAACATGTGTGGTCCTGCACGTTTCTGTAAGGTGACTAGATTCTTTGCTTTTTCAAAAATAATCAGTAAATTTTTAAAATGCCTTGATGTCAATGCACAATAACATTTTTCAGAAATGTTTACATGTTGAGAGAGGGAGGATTCTTTTATAGTCATACTGAATTAGATAAGCATGAACCATTCATCTAATCACTATAAGACAATGTGACTGCTTTTTCATGTATATTTTATGGAGGTGATTAAATGCATTGCGGAGGGGGATAATCACAAATAAAATAACAGATATATTGCTAAAGTCACTATGGGACCCCAATTTAAAAGCAAAGTAAAGGGGCCAGTGTTATGGTGCAGCGGGTTGTCCACGAAGCCGGCATCCCATACATAAGAGCTGGTTTAACTTCTTAAGTGGCTTTTCCACTTCCAATCTATCTCCCTGCTAATGGCCTGAGAAAGCAGCAGATGATAGCCCAACTACTTCAGTTCCTGCCACCCTTTTGGGAGACCTGGCTGGAGTTCCAGGCTCCTGGCTTCGGCTGGGCCTGGCCCTGCCATTCCAGCCATTTGGGAGGTGAACCAGTAGACAGAAGATCTCTCTGTCTCTCCCTCTCTCTCTCTAATTGCACCAAATAAAAAAATAAATCTTAAAAAAAAAAAAAAAAGAGCCGGCGCCGTGGCTCACTAGGCTAATCCTCCACTTGCGGTGCCGGCAACCTGGGTTCTAGCCCCGGTTGGGACACCGGATTCTGTCCCGGTTGCTCCTCTTCCAGTCCAGCTCTCTACTGTGGCTCAGGAGTGCAGTGGAGGATGGCCCAGGTCCTTGGGCCCTGCACCCACGTGGGAGACCAGGAGGAAGCACCTGGCTCCTGGCTTCGGATCGGCGCAGCGCCAGCCACAACACACTGGCCGTAGTGGCCACTTGGGGGGTGAACCAACGGAAAAGGAAGACCTTTCTCTCTTTCTCTCTCACTGTCTAACTCTGTCTGTCAAAGGAAAAAAAAAAAAAGCAAAATCCCAATCTAAATATCCAGATTTTCCCACAGTGATCTAGGCATGTGTCCTTCAGGTTACTTCATTTTCTACATCCTATAAAAAACCCTGGAGGTCAGCATTGCAGAGTAGGAGGCTAAGCCTCCACTGGCAGTGCCAGCATCCTATACGGGTACCCATTAGAGTCCCAGCTGCTCCACTTCCAATCCAGCTCCCTGCTAATATGCCTGGGAAAGCAGTAGAAGATAGCCCAAGTGCTGGGGTCCCTCCATTCATGGGGGAGACCCAGAGAAGCTTCTGGCTCCTGGCTTCGGTCTGGCCCAGCCCTGGCCATTGTAGTCATTTGGGGAGTGAACCAGTGAATGGAAGCTTGCTCTCTGTCTCCCCCTCTTTCTCTATAATTCTTTCAAATAAATTAAAAACAAACAAACAACCCTATTTCAGACAAATACTCTCACAATTACGGAATGGAACCGTATCAGTCTTTGGGAGGGGAAAACATTAGGCGCAGTGGTTAACCAGCTACTTGGGACACCCACATCCCATATCAAAATGCTTGGGTTTGAGTCCTAGCTCTGCTTCTAATTCCAGCTGCTTGCTAATGTGTACCACAGTAGGCAGCAGGTGATGGCTCAAGTAGTTGGTCTCTGCCACCATGTGGGAGACCCAGATTGGGTTCCAGGCTCCTGGCTTCAATCTGGCCCAGCCCCCGATGTTGCAAACATTTGGGAAGTGAGCCAGTAGATGGAAGATCTCTGTCTCTGTCTCTCTACATGTCAAGTAAATAATAATAAGGGAATTTATAAAGACCCTTGAAAAACAGATGGGAATGTCTGTATTAACTGAATCTGGGGGCATCAGTCAAAAATGATATCAGATCAAATTTGAATACTTTAGCCTCTACAAAAGCATGCATATGTTACACTGCAATGATGTAAAAACATTATGCATTCTCTTAGACTGGTGGACTATGGTGATTTCTCCTTTTTTGTTTTATTATTAAATTTCTGAGTGGCAAGAGCTTTTGAAATTAAAAAGTATTTAAAATTGACCATATGGTTATCTGTTAATAGTTTAGACCACTTGGTAAGAATTCTATAGAAATATGTAAACCTCACAAAAACTACAAAATAGTTTATAAAAGATCTAAAAAACGACTATCTAAAAAACAACTCTAAGGTCAAAAGTTTCAGAAACTCTTTACATCAGAAACTCTTCTACATCATCTTTGGAGTTTAAGAAAGATACTTCATTCAGATCCACTAATTTTGGAATTTCCAATCAAATTTTTGCTAGTTGCTTTCAATAATTACAAATTAAAAATTATTTTTAATATTCCAAATATATTTAAAATTCCAAAATAAGTTTTTTTCCCATTTCCTAAAACTGCAACATAGTCACATACAATTAATCTGTCTTTTCAACAAAAAAAAACAACACTGGGAGTTTAGACTCGTGGTTGACACCTGCATCCCATATCGGAGTACCTGGATTTTGTTCCTAGTCCTAGCTCCTGACTTCAGCTTCCTTTTAAGGCAGACTATGGAAGGCAACAATGATCCTGGTTCCCAGCTTTGGCCCTGACCCAGCCACTATTGCTGTGGATATCTGGGGAATGAACGAGTGAATGGGAGCTCATGCTTTTCTCTCTCAAGTACATAAATAACATTAAAAAAAAAAAAAAAACTAAAAGGGACAAAATTAGGATTTTAAGTCTCCAGTACTAATACTAGATTAATTCTGGATATCATGTATTAACACCAGTTTCTAAAGTAAGTTTGTTATTATAAAACCTTTTCCAAACATTTGCAAGAAAGGGAAAAATCACAGAGATTAATTTTTGCAGAAGTAGGGAACTTATAAGAGCATTCCTATGCCACTTTAGTTTGATATAGTGTTAGAACAAGGAGCAAAATGCAAATAACAGATATCTTTAACTACAAAGGACTTGCATATTTTCTTAGTAAAAGGTATGTCTGGGATTGGAGACAATTTATTTCAATCTGGCATAGGGTTTGACAGTTTAAGAGTAAAAGGGACATGCAAAAGATCATGGTTTTATTATGTAGCAAGAAGATATTTTAAACCTTAGATGATTAATGTTGGTTGGAAAATTAAGCAAATTTGGACTTCCCTTACACTGTCCATTACACACTTGTGTGCTATTAAATGCCTGTCACATGCCATGAACTGATGTCAAGTTCCTGGCACTTCTCTGATTCAGATATAACTAACCTTACAAGGGAAATAAAGAGAACTCTTTAGGAAGGGTTGTGAAATGTGAACAGGTAGCTGCTGTGGAAGCTTTTAAAGGAAAGATGTGTACTTGAGTATAAAAAAGAATAAACTCATTTTACCTTGTTATATTTCAGGAGTTTTTTTTTTTTTTAAATTAAGTTTCCACCAAACTCATTTAAAAACATTTCTAATATATAAAGGTTAGCAGAGACAGCCATATACACTTTAGTAAAGACCCACCCAAATATAGTTTATTTTCTAGATATAATTATAGATACAAGTTTTAAAATGGTGATTAAAATAAAATGCTGTGTTTCAATTTACCTCTCTCATGGAGAAATGTATTCTTTTACTATTTCAGGTGAAAGAAGTTAAGTAAAAGAAGAAACACCAGGAATCAGGTACTCCCTGGAAAAACACTGACACAGACCAACTTAATGAACATCATTTTCTATCTGAGTAAAACAAAAAACTCCCCATCAACAGAAAATATCTCTGCTTCACATGTTAGGTAATCCTTGCTACTGGGAAATATTTTTACAGCAGCTTTTAGAATCAAGTCTGTACAATAAGGTCCACACTGTTTTGCACCCATGGCAACCAAAACACACTGCTGATTAAACTTTCAAAGAAAAACTCTTCATTCAAAAACAATTTCACTTGTTAAATGAGGAATGGGGAAGGGATGTGCAGATGATGATCGGGATCAATTAAAAGTAACCAGACAAGGGCAGAGGATTAACCTACTGTGCCACAGCGCCGGCATTCCATATGGGCACTGGTCCTAATTCTGGCTACTCCTCTTCCAATCCAGCTCTCTGCTGTGGCCTGGGAAAGCAGTAGAAGATAGTTCAAGTGCTTGGGCCCCTGCACCTGTGTGGGAGACTGGAGGTAGCCCCTGGCTCCTGGCTTCGGATCGGCACAGCTCCAGCCATTGTGGCCATCTGGGGAGTGAACCAGCAGACAGAAGACCTTTCTGTCTCTCCCTCTCACTGTCTGTAACTCTCAAATAAATAAATAAAAATATTAAAAAAAAAGTAATCAGACAAAATGTTATGCCTCTATTTAAAGGAAGATCTGAAGGTAACTTAACTTCATTTGGGGCAAGGAATTATCTTGTATCCTCACAGAGATAATACCAAAAGGGAAAAAAAGGTGGAATTATAAGTAAGATTTAATAATAGACACCATGGGCTGGCACTGTGGCATAGTGGCTTAAACTGCCATTTGCAATGCCTGTATTTCATCTAGGCACCCATTCAAGTCCTGGCTGCTCCACTTCCAATGCTGCTTCCTGCTAATGAAACTGGGGAAGCAGCTGAAGATGACCCAAGTCTTTGTACCCACATGTGTACCCACATGGGAGACTCTGAGGAGTTTCAGGCTTCTGGTTTCGGCCGGCCCAGCACTGGCTATTGTGGCCATTTGGGTAGTGAAACTGTAGATGGAAGATGTCTCCGTATCTCTCCTCTCTGTAATTCTAATAAATAAATAAATCTTAAAAAAGATACTAGACTCCAACTGATATGGTCACCTCGTTTCATCAGTCTTATATAACATGCAGAAGAAATTTCAATTTCTCATGTCTTATAAAAAGTTAAAATCCTCATAGCTTTCCCAAAAAATTCATGTGAGAAATAAATTCACTGCATGCAGGTACTAAAATAAAGTATTCTAAAATATCAGAGCTATATTTTTATGTATGCATAGTCATGAAAGTGTAAGAATTCAAGACACACACTGGTTAACTGAATCGGAAAGAAAGAAAAGAAGTGGTCAATTATGCACAGGAATAATCTTACTCTTACATATAAAAGCACATCAAGAAATAACTACCACTCACACTTTTACTAAATTTACACCACATAACTTTCACAGACAGTTCTGACTGATAAATACACTCCAACAGTACTCATACTGAAACAAAGGTGTTTTGAATAAATATACTTTCTCTGGTTAGAGTATTTTTATAATCAGAAAAGATGAGATTCTAAGAAAAATTATTGATAAAGGATTCATGATGACACATCACAAGCAAGAAATCCTTCCTGATGCTTGAGGCAATGCATGGTACAGTAATTTACCTTACCTGCAATGCAACCTGGAAAAGCTGAACTTCAAAAATACCAACAGTATAGTTCACTGATGAGAACTATAAATAAGTTTCCTTTCACCAGAAAGTAAAAGCAGGGAAGGGGAAAAAGAATCCAAAATCACATTGTGGGATCTTTAAAGAATGACTCATATATGAGAGGTAAACTCTGAGGACTTGTAAGAATTATCTTATGAGACAAAAGGGAACGGGAAATGAAAAAAAAAATCAACCAACTAAGAGGGAAAAAACATAAATGTGACATAAATCGACATATGGATACACGGAACTTCTAAATAGTGTGTAAAAGAGAATTGGAAGATGCTGAGATGGTGGGAGTTGTGCAAGAAAGCCAGCTTCATAGATCATATTCTAAGAAAGGTAGATATTCATTTCGTTAGAAGAATTAAAATCTAGTATTACTCTTCATAGGCTCACATTTCTTACATATCAGGAGTTGAAATAAATCAAGGGTGTGGTCAAACTGAACAGGAAGGAAACTTTATGCACCCCAAAAGTAAGGTTCAGATAAGCACACTTAGGCCATTATAAAATGTTATAACCAAGTTTTATTTCAGAAATCTGCTAAACTGGAGGCATACAATGACCTAAACACACATCACTTTCAACTCCTTTTCCTTGCAAAAAAAAAAAAATCATAAATGAAGGTGCAAAAGGAGCATTTCTGAGGTCAAACAAAGTAACACGTAGCAGAATCTTAGGAAAAGCTACATTTAATTTTCTTTTAAGCTTTAGTTTTTAAGTTAACCCAAACCATTCAGTGTCATTTATGCCATAATAAAGAAACCTTGGCCAACATTAATCCTCAAAGCTGCTTTTAGAAATGGCAGTCCTTTCTCCTTGGCCTACCTTACCACATCCTACCAGATGGTTCGTCCCCATTCTCCTCCCAAGAGGAAAGTCAAATAAAAATCACACCCGAAGAGGATTCGGTGTGAGAGTCAGCTGTGGGAAAATGTAACTAAATGGTAATGCCCATTTCCAGCCGCTTCATCGCCTGTGCAGTCATTAATAGCCAGCTTCGTAGATGCCTACGCAGCTCAGCCAACTGCTGAAGGAAAGTGGGGGTGGAGAAAGGTCCTCAGTATAAGTTGTCGGTGTTGGCGCTCCGAGGGGTCTTGATCTTCTCGATGTTTTTCAGGATTACGTCATGCAAGGTGGCATACTGGTTCCGCACGTGCAGCAGGATCTGGCGCACGCTCAGGTACTCGTTTTCATCGACTTCCGCCACCGTGCGGCGATAATCTTCCACTTGCGGGTACTTCACGATCTTGGATACCAACTTGGCCCGGGTGTTGTAGTAGGTGGAGAAGCGGCGCAGATAGGAGGCCGCTGTGCTTTCCACGGTCCAGAGCTGGTCCACTGTGTCTTCCTGGATGGACACTCCGAAGTTGTTGCCATCCTCCACCTTCGGGATGAGCAGCTGCACCCACATCCGCACCGTGTTGCATTTCTCTCTCAGCAGCTCGATCTCGGGTTTCACCCGCTCAATCAGCTCCACCAGATGCTGGTTGCTCCGCAGAAGCTGTCCCTCCCCGCCGGAGAGTACAGGTACCTTCACTGGGGACTGGGTCTGCAGAGGTGACGGATCCCGGTTGGGCCCATCCCCCACGGTGTCGGGGGCAGTGGGGGGCTCCGGGGCTGGCACCGAACGGATTCTGGACAGGTCCTGCAGGCGCAGCTCCTGGACCCGACTATCCAGCTCTGACAGCTTCTGAGGGAAGAAGGTGGACACCAGATCCTCGGCCTCCTGGGCGATACGGGCCCGAAACGAATCTACTTTCCCTTGCACATCATGCTCTAGCTTCAGGGGCAAAGCCATGGCCTCTAGAGGCTTCAAGAGTTGGGGTTCACACAACCTGGACTTCTCCGTTTTCGACAGGTTGGGTGTGGGCCTCCGCCGCTGCCACCACCACCAACTCCCAACAGACCACGCCGGAAATGACGTCCCAGGGCTCCCAGCAGCCCTCGCGGCAGGACAGGAAGCCGCGAGCCTGACCGCGCACTACCGTTCCAGATGCCTTCTGTAGGAATATGTCCGGCTTCAACTTCGGGTGCCACCAAGGCTGGTGCCAAAGCATCGAGGAACACGTCTGGGAGACACTGGCAGACCTGGTTTCCTGACCCGCCACACCAGTACTTACCAGCTATTAGGTAGTTACGGCAGGAAGCTTGAACATGAAGACAGTTCCAAAAAATGTCGCTTCAGGGTTGTGAAGACTTGTGGTGACAAGTCGGTATACTTTACGTGGGAGACTGACGAAAGCTACACTCCCTGGATCCAGACTTAAATACGATCTCCAAAGCAAGGCTCACTTCCAGGCAGTGGTAAACCGCACCTTCCCAGGTAACCTGCGCCTATCCATGCTCTCCCCGCAGAAAATAAGTGGTTCACTTCACTGTGGTATTTTAATCAAATTAGCAAACTTCTGAGCTCTATGGCCTACTTCTACAGTTTTTTGTTTAAATTATGAATGTTAAGTTATATGACTCTTCTTAAAACTTATGCACCCCATGAGAGACCAGGAGAAGCACCTGGCTCCTGCCACCGGATCGGCGCGGTGCGCTTGTTGCAGCGCGCCGGCCGCAGCGGCCATTGGAGGGTGAACCAACGGCAAAGGAAGACCTTTCTCTCTGTCTCTCTCTCTCACTGTCCACTCCTGCCTGTCAAAAAAAAAAAAAAAAAAAACAAACAAACAAACAAAAAAACTTATCTTTTTGGGACAGTTAACAAAATTTGAATCTAGATGCCACATTAAAGTATCAAGGTCAAATTTCTTGAACTAGATAACTGTGGTCATGGAGAGTATATTCTTGTTTTTAGGAAATATATACTACAGTGCTAAGGAACAAAATGATGGATGTATTTAATTTACCAGTTCAGAAAAGTCAATTTGTGTGTGTGTGTGTGTGTGTGTGTGTAGAGAAAGAGACAGAGAAAATGCTGAAAACTGATGAACCTGCATAAATGCTATATGGGAGCTGGTATTACTCTTGCAACTTATCTGTAAGTTTGAAATTATTCCAAAATAAAATTTGACAAAACTATCTTTTCCCTAAAGACTTCCATAGTTATACAAATTCTGAAACATTCTGCACCCTCATCCTATTTATTTATATTTATATTCATTTCCTTCCACTGAAATATTTTCCTTTAGTTCTATACAACACCATACTGGAGCAGATGTGGTGGTGCAGTGGCTTAAGCTGCTACTTAAAACACTGGCATCACATGTCAGAGTGCTGGTTCGGATTCTCTTTGTCCCAGTTCCAATCCAGCTTCCTGCTAATGCACCTGAAAAAGCAGCCGATGATGTTCCAAGTACTGGGACCCTGGGACCCACACTGGAGACCCAGATGGAAGTTCTGGCTCCTGGCTTCAGTCTGGCCTGGACCTGGCTATTACAGCCATTTGGGGGAATGAATCACCGGATGGAAGGTATCTCTCTTTGTTTCTCTCTGCCTCTCCTCACCCCCTCAACCCCCACCAAGTGTGCATCATTCTGCCTTTCAAATAGATAAATAAGTAAATCTTTTAAAATATGCCTTTGTTAATATGTGACATATTAATAATGACATGTTAATAATGACATAAGTTTATGTCAAAAAGATTATTCTGACGGGCCAGTGCTATAGCATAGTGGGCTAAGCTTCCATCTGCAGGCTGTAATCTCATATGGGTGCTGGTTCATGTCCTGGCTGCTTCTCTTCTGATCCAGCTCTCTGTTAATGGCCTGGGAATGTGGTGAAAGATGAATAAGTGCTTGGGCCCCTGCACCTGTGTGGGAGATCCAGAAGCTCCTGGCTTCGGATTGACACAGCTCCAGCCATTGCGGCTATATGGGGAGTGAATCAGCAGATGGAAGAACTTTGTCTCTCCCTCTCTCTCTGTAATTCTACCTCTCAAATAAATAAAATCTTTAAAAAACAATAGTGATGGTAGAGTACAAGACAGCTTTGGAAAGTAAAATGAACAGTGGCTGGTGATAGTTTTCAATATGGAGAAATGAGAAAAAGTAGGATTCAACACTAAGTAACAATTTTTTTTTTGCTTAGGGAAAGAATGTGTTCCCATTTATAATTACATTAAACCTCCCCCAAAGTGGAATATTAAATGTATTTTACACACACGTTTAAGCTCAAGCTACAGAAATTTAGATAGGACTGTCAGAAAAGGAAAATCTTGAAACATTACCACAATTCTTCTTCATCTTGATTTTCTTTATAATTTGACTATAAAATATTACAATGGAACTATTATGGAAATTCCTTTTTATATCCAGTATATCCAGAACAACCTTAATAGTATATATAGTTTAACAAAGTTACTCTGTTTTCAAAAAGTACTTCCAGTTACTTTTTTAAAGAAAGGAATAGGAGTGGAGGCAAGGGGGCATTGTGGTGCAAGAGATTAAGCTGCATCTTGGGATGTCTGCCTTCCCATATTAGATGCTGGTTTGAGTCCCAGATATTCTGCTTCTGATCCGGCTTCCTGCTAATGGCATCCTGGAGATGTCAGAAGATGGCTCCAGTGTGTAAGCCCCTGCCACCCATGGAGATGCCCAGATGGGAGTTCTGAGCTCCAGAGCTATTCCAGTTCTGATTATTGTGGACATCTGGGGAGTGAACCAGTGGATGGAAGGTTCTCTCCCTCTCTTTTGATCTGCCTTTCAAGTAGACAAAAATAAATATTTAAGGAGATAAAGAAGTGGGGAAGTTTCTTTCTACTTACATTATGACACTAATTAATGTATCTATTTGTGAGGATTTGAATTATTTTCTTTAGCTGTCTGGTGAAAGAATATAAAATCCTTTAGGGGGTTCAGCTGTTCTTTGTGTGGTATGAGGTAAGAGTTTTATTTCTTCATAATAGTTCCTGTCCTTGTTAATTAGAATAACAGTTGATAGCAAAATAATAGCTCCTAGTTTTTCTTCCATCAGTCATCAGCAATCAACAATTTTTTTAATTATTTAATGCACTTGAATTCCTAGACTTAACTCATGAAATTAATACTGAGTGCTAACAAGTGGAGGAATGCCAGGGACCACTGTACAGAAGTGTGCTCTTGTTCAGGTCAGTTTCTCTTATGCCCACATCTCAGCAGGCTTCATTACACAGTGGTGCCAATAACTGACACACCAGTCTTCCTTTGGGAACACCACAGACTTATGGATTGATTTATCTTTAATATATTCTCTGAAACTATGGCCCCTGAATAAGGGATTCTGTGGTCCTATGTGTAAATTACATTTTTAGAACATTCAAAGCAATTTTGTCAATTTTGTCAATTATTGGATATAAATGTAAACTTGAGATATGGATTGGACTTAATTCTTAAATACATTTTTTCAGTTATTTACTTATTTCTTCCTTCCTCCCTCCCTCCCACTTCAAATCACCTCTCCTCTTTTTTTAAGATTTATTTATTTAACTGAAAGGCAGAGTTACAAAGAAAGAAGGAGAGAGAGAAAGAGATTTCTGTATTCCAGTTCACTCCCCAAAGGGCCACAACAGACATCATTGAACTGACATCATTGTAGGCAGTGGCTTAACCCACTGTGCCACAATGCCAGCCCCTCACTGCTTTCTTTGTGTATAAAAGTTAGGAGAAATATAATAAATAGGACTAAATCTAGATAATCGTAAGTCTTCAGTGGGTAGTAATATTTATCTCCTAATATTTATGAAATTCTTCATCTTTGAATGGCAGTAGATCTTAAATTGCCTAGCCCAGTAAAGCCATTTACCACTTATGCACAATAGCCACATTAGAATGCTTAGATTTACAATACAGTTAGAACGCTGCCAGAACCAATTCCTAGGGGTGACAATATGTCACTTCCGCTTCCTTTATTCTTTTTCTTAGACTGCTGCAAGTAAGGGTGTACAACAAACATAGAAGTAGTTTTCTGTAGTGTCTCTTCTAAACTGTAACTGCCAATTCAGTATGTCCATAATTCACTCTCCAAATCTAACATGCATACACATGCCTTTACATGGAGAGAAGTGGCAGTACAGCACAGTGGTAAAGCTATGAAGTTAGTCTGCTAGGTTCAAATCCTGGCTTTTTTACTTACTAGCTGTGTGACCCTAGCTAAGTTATGTAATCACCCTGCATTTCATTTTCCTCATCTATAAAAATGAGCATTATAAAAACAGCTATTTCATAAAGGTATTTTGAGGATTAATAGTTAATACATATAAAAGTTAGCATACTGTCTTGAGCATAATCGCTCAACAAATATTTAATGTGCAAATATTAATACTGTCAATTTATGACAGTTTTGTAGTTGTAAGGCAAAATATAATGTTTCTAGAATTCAGTTTTATGTGTACTATATAGACATTTAATAAACATAAGTCAATGCTGGAAGGGAATTTCTTTAAAGGGAGTTAACTTCCTTTAAAAGTGAAAAACCCTCTTCTCAATGCCTTGCGCAAACAGTCGCAGCACTCTCTTCCTGAAATGCAAGTCTGAGCATACTTCTGTCTAACACAGAGTAAGAATCCAATTCTTTAGGCACGGCCCATCAGTTCCATAGGATCTGGAGCCTGCCATGTTTCATTTCCACAGCCTACTCTACATTCCAACAACAGTTCTCATGAGACCTAGGCATTTACACACTGACCTCTCTGTGTGTGAAATGACACACCACCTCATCTTCCTCCCACTCTGTACCATTTCCATCCTTCTATGATCAATTCAGAAACTGTTTCCTCAAGAGCCTTCCCCGATAGTACCTCCTCCTTTCTCAATGAAGTTAGTGCTCTCGGCCCAAGTTAAATAGTACATCAGTATCGGCCTCATAAAACTGTTGAAAGGATTAAATAAAATAACTTGTATGAAACAGCTAGGACAGTAAAGGCTTCATAAATAGCAGTAGTTTTATTTGTAATCTTAGAGAATTCTGCATTATATCTTTTTTATAGTTCCTATTACTGTGTAGTAATTTTGGATTTACAAGTCACTTTCTCCACTATCATAAATTCCTTGAGAACAAGGATTTTAGCTTATTTGTTTTTATGTATTCTACAGTAGCACTGTGTCTTGTAACAGTAAGTGTTTAGTGAACATTACCAAATGGGTAAAAAAATTAATGATGAAAAACAGGATAAAATTTTATCAGACAGGACCTAACTAGTAGAAGAGATGGGACTTTCAAGCAACTTAACTTTTCCTTTTCATATAAAAATCAATTTTGGAAATCTATCAGCAGTCTTCTGGGCTGATTTAAAAAGGTTTTATACAGGAAGAATAGTAAATATATACCCTTTCTCTCATCAACAGCAAATGGAGTTTTACATTCTGCTTTTGAATTTGGTTGTACACCAGATTTCTACTAGTTATAATATTGCTCAGTTCTTAAAAAAAAAAATAGCCCTCACTTAAATAATCGGAGTTCGTCTGTAGAACAGTAGTTATGCAGTATTACATGTTTGTATAAAATGAACTTACTGGGGAGTACCAGAGAGGTACACACAAGCAGAAAGGGTGATGCTGGCTCTGACTCATGCTCCTACTGTTTATTTATAGCTTCTTATTAGTATGAGATTTGTTTTATTTGGCAAAAATACAAGATTTCAACTGACCGAGAGAGGAAGATGTAAGAAAATGCCTAAGCATAAAACTTCTGCAACTGAATAATAATCTGTAACTTAGTGCTGTATCAACAGCTCCCCAGCGGCTGGTGCAAGCTGAAACCACTCCAGAATTACCGATGTCATGAGCTACAAACTTTACTGCTAAAAGTACAGTAGTGGTTAACCAAAGATCTTATTCTTTTACAGGCGCCTCCAGTTATAAATTCACTCGCTGGGGCTAGATTTTTAGATCAGTGTATAAAACTATTTACAATGAGTTCCTAATTTATTTTAATAATTGTCAACCAAAATCGCAGTCAACAGCTAATTTAAAAACACAAGCCAAATAACTTTAGAATCTTCAAGCTGAAAAAATGTAGCTTCCCAATGTTTATTTAAGATTACTCTCTGCTCTCTTACCCTGAGTTTCCTTCTTGACACTTACCACAAACTATTCAGTTACATATTTATTTACATGTTTGTTTATCTATGTCTCTAGAAAGTAAGCTCTGAAAGAATAAGGATTTGTTTTGTTGACTGCTGATTTTTTGTAGTGAGAACAGCCAGGAACATTATTGCTATTGAAATATGTCACTGGGTGAATGACAGTTAAATCAATTAGATCTTTTGATTAAATAATGATTCTTTGAGGATAGCTTCAGTTGTAAGAGACTTTTTACTTTAATTTTTGCTCAGTGTCATGCTCTCTATCAAAACCATGAATATCCGGTATAGCAAAGTGAAAATATGATTCGTTTACACTCATTAATTCTGTAATATGGTTTTCAGGGTTTTTTTAAATTATTATTTTAATTGTACAGATCAGGGGAGTACAGAATTATAATTCAATATATGTGTTCAATGTGTAATCATCAAATTAGGTTAGTTACCATTCTGTCTTAAACATTTTGAAAACTTTTAACACTTAATAATTATACTGTGTGATATGTCAATAAATATGTACTGTTCAAATTGGGTAATTAGCCTTTTTTTTTCTTTATTGTTGCTTTATGTTTGGAGACTCAGCTGCTATGGAAGAGCTTTTTAAAAATATATATAATACAAGTAGACAGTCACACCTTAGAATGAATAAAGGTTTTTGGATAATAAAATCAATTCTTAAAAGGTTTAAGGAAATAAATCTGTATTCTGAAGATATCTCACATTTATATTTTCTCTTAAACAACAACAAAAAAGGCTTACTAGTTTAAAAAATACTTTCAGTATTTGCCAATTTCATTCACCTTTTTAAAATAGGGTTTATCTTATAAAGGAACTATCTTTACTAAAAAATAAGTTACTTAACTTATTTTTTTACTTAACTAATCTTTACTAAAAAATAAGAAAAACAAACATAACTAAAAAGCTGACTCAGAAGTTTTAGATCTAAGTGAAGTGCTTCATAAAAATAAATCAAAACTATATTACAAACTGAATTCAGATTATCTTTTTATCTCTTAGTAACTTGTGTACTGTTATTATGTATGAAAATGTAGCAGGCTGGGCGGTGCCGCGGCTCACTAGGCTAATCCTCCGCCTGCGGGGCCGGCACCCTGGGTTCTAGCCCCGATTGAAGCCCCAGATTCTGTCCCGGTTGATCCTCTTCCAGTCCAGCTCTCTGCTGTGGCCTGGGAAGGCAGTGGAGGATGGCCCAAGTGCTTGGGCCCTGCACCTACATGGGAGACCAGGAGGAAGCACCTGGCTCCTGGCTTCAGATGGGTGCAGCGCGCCAGCCGTAGTGGCCAATTTGGGGGTGGGGGGTGAACCAATGGAAGGAAGACCTTTCTCTCTCTCTCTCTGTCTAACTCTGCCTGTCACAGAGAGAGAACCAGACTACAAGGAAGAATGTCGCACGCCTTCATCTGATAATAAGAAATGAATCACAACCTTGTGCAGTTACATCTATTAACAATTACTAAACCTATGCTGATGTGACTTTTTAAAAATCTGTTTACTAGGGTACTTCAAAAAGTATGGAAAAGTGGAATTAAAAGATGAATTGTTTATGCAAAAAATTTGAAATTCCTATACAGTTTTTTCATAACACACATTTTCCATAAACTTTCTGATGACCCCACATGATTATGTGTGTATGCTACTAATGCTTCATTTAAATACAGACTGGCTTAGTGCTACAAGTGAAAATGATGCTTATTACATCTTCTGGATGAACTCGTATCAATCCTATGGTTCCTATGTGGTGTCAATTTGGAAAATTTTCACTGAAAACTAAGGTATTTCTTTTCCAGTTAACTGCTGCCCTAAATCCACCCAAGTGATTGTGATGTGGTCAATTTGAACAAGCCCTAAAAACAGCTGAAGACCTGGTGTCTGCTGTTACTCCACATTCTGTAATAATCAAAGGCTCTAGTTTCTGTAGGCATGTGAAATGAACATTTAACTAGAAACATTACAGGAAATACTTAAAAGATCCCCAAAATCACTTTTTCTAAAGGCTATTAGAAGAGATTTTAAACTGTTGAAGGAGATCCTAACTATCTGTTTGGAAGAGCCCTTCCAAATTTCTGATCTCTCAGGGCCAGTTTATGGTGCAGCAGGTTCTGTCACCACCTGTGATGCTGGCATCTTATATGAGCTCAGGTTGAAGTCCCAGCTACTTCACTTCCAATTCAGCTCCCTGCTGATGTGCCCAGGAAAGCAGTTGAAGATGGCCCCTGCCACCCTATGGGAAACTAAGATGGAGTTCTAGGCTCCTGGCTTCGGCCTGGCCTAGTCCTGGTTGTTGTGGCCAGCAGATGGAAGATCTCTGTGTGTGTGTGTCTCTTACTCTCTCTCTCTCTTTAACTCTGCCTTTCAAATAAATAAATCTTTTAAAAATTTTTTTATTTCCCTGCCTCCCAAAAGGAAAAAGGTAAATCACACCCTCATAAATCTAGTGATACAATGAATGTAATGTGATGCCACTATTGTAAAATCTTGTCATTTTAATGCTTTTCCAAATATGCAAACTATCTGCTGATGGATAACAGAAAAAATTAAATTAAATTGAATTTTTCTGGTGAGTTGGAAGGAGAAGGGTTGGATCATGGATGATTTTTGCTAAATTTAAACAAACTCTTCCTTCCTTGTCTTATCAATTCAAGAGTTCTTCATACAGTAGCCCTATACTTCAAAGGTCAATCTCCTGATGATAGGGAAATAAACATATTGAACACCTACTGTGTGCTGAGTACAGTGCCAGCACTTGATTTATTACTTCGCTTAAATGTCTCAACACCCCAAGACGTAACTTTATATTATTCTATTAGAGATAAGGACACCGGGCCTCTGAAAAGCCCTATAGTGTTTGCACTTGTAAGCAGTAGCACAATGCTTGGTTAAAACCCAGATTTAGGGGTGGCATTTGGCCTAGCAGTTAAGACACCTGCATCCCATATCAGGGTGCCTGGTTCTGACTTCTGGGTGCAGATTCCTGCTAATGTGCATCCTCAGAGATAGCAATGATGGGCTCTTGCTACCCATATGGGTCACCTGGGTTGAATTCTTGGCTCCTGGCTTCAGTCTGGCCTAGCCCAGGCTGTTGTGGGCTAATGGAGAGTTGAACCAGCAGATGAAAGCTCTGTCTCTCTGACTCTCAAATAAATTAAAAAAAAAAATTTTTTTAAATAAGCTTATTTGACTCTAAATCCCATTCTACCTGATTGCCTACAAAAGAAAATGCTGCATCAGCCCCTTTATTTTTTCCATTAAACTAGAAAGTAATGACTCAAAACTAAGTGAAGTAACTTTTTTTCATATTTCTGAATAAGACTGTATAAAACTACAGGATAAACTATAACCTCTGCTATTTTTCTGCTCCTTAAGCCAATACAGAGAATATGTGTACATACATAATACATATGTGTATACATACGTATACATATATTTGTGTATAAATATATATCTAAAAGATTCATTTTAAGGCTTGATTTTGTAGTTCTTTTTAAACTAAGGAAGACAGACCACTAATGAACAAAAAGTAGCAGACAGTTTTTTATAAGAACCTTATTTTTCCTCTTTCACTTATTTTTCTGTGTTATTTTCTAGCACTGTGATCTACATTGGCACATACATGTTTGTCTCGTCTAGTCTCTAGAATTTTGGTTTGGCAATATCTTCTGCTACCCATTACATTTTTGCTATAATTATCTACAGTATATGTTATGTTTCCAAGGAACATATAAATAACATTTTATTGGTTAAGTACACAGACTAGAAATTTGAGGTTGAAGAAGTTCAATCACAGGATACTGTTTTAAGAAGTTCTAGCAAAAAAGTACAGTCTAACAAAATCAAGGAAAATAACAAAGAAAAACTGACAATCTTGTATAAAGTTTTTAACAGGCTTTGCTTTAATTCTTCCTTTAAAAGAAATTGGATTAAAACACCACATTGAATATCACATAATACTGGATATGCATATCCAAAAAATTTAACTTTGATCTATACCTTGCACTGTATACAAAAATTAACTCAAAATGAATCCCAGACCTAAATGTAAAACCTAAAATATAATACTTTTAGAACTAAACATATGAGAAAATTTTTGCAACCTTAAGTCAGGCAAATAAATATTCCTTGAGACAAAAAAAAAAAAAAATCCATAAAGGAAAAAACTAAGAAATTAATTTCATCGAAATTAAGAATTTCTTATTCTTGAAAGATGCTTATAAGGAAATTATCAAAAGACAAGCAATAATCTTAAAGAAAAATATTTCCAAATCATGCATTTCACAGAAGACTTGTATCTAAATAATATAAAGAACTCTCTAAGCCTCTGGATTGGTGAACACATGCAGGTGTCTGGATTGTGGTAAACCCAGACAGGGCAGCTCTGTGTCCCTTCCCATATATTTTGCCCTATGCATCTCTTCCCTTTGGCTAGTTATCTGTATCCTTTGTAATTATAATTAACTAAAGAAAATAAATTTACTTTCTAAAACTGAGATAATACATGTGTGTGTTGTTCTGAGCTCTAAACAGAACATGTACACACACACAAAAAACTCTAAAATTATTAAAAATCCAATAAAAATGGACAACACCAAAATATATTTATAGATGCAAATAAGCACAAAAAGTCATGGTCAAAATTATTAATCATTAGGGAAATGTAAATTAAAGCTACAATGAGATATTACTATACACCTACTGGAATGGCTGTAATTCAAAAGACTGTCTATACTAAGTGTTACTAAGGATGTAGGGCACTAGAATTCTCATATACTGCTCATGGGAATGTACAAAGTTAAACACTTCAGAAAACAGTTGGCAGCTTCTTAAGCTATACATACACATAATATATGATCCAGCTGTTCCACTCATATATTTATACAAGAGAAATGAACATAAATGTCTCTATAAAGGCTTATATAGAGATATTCATAATATCCTTATTTGTAGTAGACAACAGTGGAAGGTGAAAAGCAAATTGTGCTAATTACTTATCAAAATGCTTATCACTAGAGGAATTAAGTAGTAGTGCAAACAATAATGAGGATGAATCTCAAAATAATTATGCTGCAAGAAAAAAATATGCATGATTCCTTATATAAAAGGAATGGTAACAGAAAGATCAGTGGAAGCCGAAGCCCTAGCCAAAAAGCAGCAGGCTCAGTCAGCAGCTAATATTTCTACAGCCCAGGTAGGTAGTCAGATTATTTTTTTACTATGTGTCATGTATTCTCTTTAGTTCACATTGCTTGTACCTCTACCAGAATAGATACTCAAAAGCTGCTAATTCAAAACACATTTTAAGGAATTTCAAAGGCACACTCATTCTTAACAGAAAAAAAGATACTGAGTTTCCGTTCAATTATAAAAAGGAAAAAAAAAGTTGTAAAATGTAAACTGCATAAGAAAGACCTGTTTATTCTGTGTGACATACCCTAATTGTTCAAGATTTACTTCCACATGTTCTTTAATCATAGATGGCTCTAATAAATTACAACAAAGAAAGTCTAGGAAAGATTCGACAATTTAAGTTGACAAACTTTCTTAAATACCTTCCATTTACAAAGCAAGTATTGTGCAGAGGAGAAAATGCTAGCATATTCTCATTCTTCTAGGTCATCACAGACACATCTGATAGATGGCCTCTCTAGATATGGAGCTTAT